CGAGTTGTTGCGAGTTCTGACGAGTTATTACCGATCCAAGCGAGTTATTTACTGAATGCTTGCGACTCTCTACGAAGTAGCGATCCGTAAGGACTCGTGAGAAAAAAATCTGTGTATGTGAAAGGGGTATTAATCAGTAAACTTTGCTTAGTATAAATAAGTTTGATTTATACTGTTCGTAAATGTATGTAATCCATATAATTGTTTTTATAGATGAATTATGTCTTGGTTTCCCTTTAAATCTTATATATTATAAATTTGTAACATAAAGCTGTTGTAAGACGAAATTAACAAATATCCAATGAACTATATATTTGCAAATCTAGACTTAGTAACTGGATACAATGTATGTTCATGAGATATTAACAAAAACTATTTTGTGCTAACAGACGTTTAAAGAGGACAAGGTTTTTAAATAAATGTAAATGGTGCACATTTGTTAATTGTGCATACTTTAAATTAACAGTGTTCAAAATATTTGACCATAATTATTTCAGAAAAAGTAAATATTTTCGGTTTAAATTAAACATGTTAAATTGTGGATTGCATCTGACTTTAAATTCACGTTAAAATCTTATTTTGATGGAAAAGTACACACTACAATGTAACTTATAAGATGTTTTTCATACAGATAACTTGATGATGTGTTAAAAAGTGAGTACCTTTCGAAATCATTATTATAAACCGTATTTGCCGTTAACGGGTTTACTTTATATCTTCTACACTATTTTTAAAGGTATTAAATGCACTTTGTACATTTTATTTATAGATAAATACATATTTACTATTAATAGCTTGTAGTCTGCAAACATATTTTAAGTACAATTCTTACATTTGCTATAATAATAAGAAATGTATTACCATTGTCAATGAGAAACCTTTTTATTAAACACAAACGTACAAAGTTGGTGAACAATAACAGGTCCGCGTTTGACATTCAACAATCTATAAAAACCTATTTCATTAAGTTCGCTGTAAAAAGGCCCCGGTTTGCATAGTTAAAAAAAACAACATTTTCTGGATGCAGATATAACACGAAATTTATATTGGGAACCTTATGATGTTCAGCATTTGCTTTTAGCTCGTGTTCGAACGGTAGGTTTCCACAAACTCCTCTGCACATAAAGTTGTAGGTACGAAAATACGAAATTTTGTTTTATCTTGGTTACAGTTCTCCTATGATACTTACGTCAAACAACATTGTCATTAACTGCTTTGTGAATAGTTTGAAATACAAATCACTTTTCCACAGTAATTGATCTGCTTTAAAGTCGTCTTTATATCCATGACATGATATCGTTTCAATAGAATAATTTTTTATCAAGCAAAATAACACTTTATACATTTCGTGCATTCATAGCCCTTTTCCGGTTTTACCTTTAATCAAGAACGCGCAAAACATAACATTTGAAACCAAGATTTGTATAAATACATTGACAAATTAATGGTACGAGATATATGACCAAAAACAGACCCAAACCATAACTTCTTTCAGTAAAAACCATAACCTCATTCAGTACAGATCAAATTTGTTACTTTTAAAATGGTTTACAGTTTAAAAACTGCCAACAAAAAAATATGCTAAATCAATCATGTTAATTCCCTGCATAAAGGATACTGAAAATGTATCATAGTTTACTTTAGATGTGTCCCATGACGTTATCTTTTAGACCAAGTGATTATGAAGTGTTTAGCTTCTTATTCCCAGAAAAGTTTACATTATCCTTTAGGCTTTCAAGATTGTCTTTTAATGTGTTCATTTTCTTTGTGAACAGTGTGCAAAAGTTGCAATTTGTTAAGTTTAAAATAAAGAACATTATGTGTATCTATATGTTGGTATTATAAACATTAAAAGCGTCGTTGCTTATGTTTTCCGCCACCAGAAATCGACAATTTTTATTTTGTTTGTTGTATTAGATGTGTTCCCCAAATTGACATATATATATATATATATATATATATATATATAATGAGTATTTTGGGTCAACATATGCAGTAAAAATCTGAGAGAATTGCTCAAGTTTCATTATACCAAACATTTCTTGAATATGTTAGGAATTTATATGAAAGTACAAGAAGAAAAGGTTGAAACTTGATCTTATTGTAAGAGAATAAAAAGTAATTCACCTAACCATTCAAGTTTTAGTTATTTCTATCATATTTCTAACTTATCATGGTAAGCCATAGGAATGTAGTTAAAAGTGACATATTGATGAGTTTATACTGTATATCGAATCTGTTAGTTTTTACGAAGTCATTGTAGTCTAGAAGAAGGAGACCAAACTTTTTTTATTTTTATTGTGTCCCCAATAGTAAATCGTCTCTTAATGAATACATTTATTTTCTGTATAAACTTGACTGTAGTAAGTTTAATGAAGAGCATTTGTTACGCTCCATCTCTCATTGCTCGGCTATGAAATGGTTTACTTTTACAAATTGTGACTTGGATGGAGATGAAAGAATTTGTCGAAATAATTCCGATTTTGGAATCCTTGCTTGTATCTAAACTTGTATAAAGTTGGGGTCAACTTCACGTGATCAAACTATTTACAGATTGAGTTAATTTATCGATGCATAAATTGCAATTAATTTTGTTATTCTATAGATGAATAGTCGAAAATTAATGAAGAACATTTTTGAAGGAATTATTGTCCTGTACTGTTAGGGAAATTTATGCCTAATCTTCGATCTTTTTGGTTTCCTTCCTTACACAGTTCGAACCATTTTTGGTCATCGTTGTCATGTTTTCAGTAAAAATCATTCAGTCAGTTTTGAATAGTATGTAGTTAAACAATGTTAAATTGATTTTTTTTTATTATTGTTCTTACATAAATGATTTAAACATCTAATACTTTCAGTTCAATAAGCATGTTTTAGTGCTATTAATGGCATATAAACAATGCCTGATATTGGGAAGAGGATTCCCTTGTCATGTTGCAAATATTTTCAATAAAATATCTTTATTATTTCCGCTCATGTTCCTTCATTCAATATTGATGGTATGACACATCATACAACTGCTTGCCTCCGGCACACTTTAACTGCAAAAATTCGAGTAAATCTTACAAATTAAGACACACACATTAAAAAAAAAAACGTTTTTCGTCGTTTCTGTTGGTGGTTTGAAAGAACAACCACTAAAGCATCGTCAATTTTGAATTGGTTTTGAATAGTCGACATGAAAGTTTTTAAAAGTCAGATACAAAATGATAAACTACATAGTATATGTAATGCAAATATCTAATAATATTTAACAATTATCTTGAATTGTACACATCATTGTTTAAAAACTTTCCACACGAATAGATTTTTAAAAAAGAATGTTTCACCGAGAACAAGGTCATATATTTTCTGTCAGAAAGTATTATAACATTTAAATAACAAAATTAAAATAAGAAGGTTTTATTCTATCCAATATTGCTGACTATACATTTATTTGTTTAATAGACATTTTTACAGTAAATCATAATTCATATATGTTTTTTGTTTACTGTGTTGTCAAGCCGTCTCACTTTGTCATGTCGGGGCCTTTAAGGGATAAAAAATATTTAGAACAATAATAAATAAAACAAATTATAATATTGGTTTATACATTCCTTATATTAATATAACTTTATAGTATATATTTGTTCCTTTAATTGATTTTTTCAAGCACCTGAGATCATTCCCGGTTTTTTGTGGGTTCGTGTTGATCAGTTTTAAGTTTTCTATGTAGTGTTGTGTGATCAAACTTGTTCGTATTGTCGTCCTCTTTTTTCGCCATTGTGATATCAGTTTCTCTCGCATTATGAGTTTTGCATATCAATTTGTATCTTTCACCTATTTTTTGCAAGCACTGTGCCATATATGTCTCCTTCTAAATAAAAGGACTTTTTTGAATTAACCTGATCGTTTTGAATAACACGTAACACCATGAACACGTATGCAAAGAGCCATTTGATGTGTCTGCTGCTATTCCTACATATACCATTTTCTATTTCAAATGTACGAGGTTCATCTATCATGTATAATGTAAATAACATAAGGAAATGTATGTTTTTATTTCACATATTAATATAATATCAATTGTATTGAAAATGAGAGGGTTTTTCCCATTATAACTGATTTGTTTTCGACGTTAATCTTTAACATAAGTTAAAGTCTGATACAGTGCTTGACCAGTCTGAAACAGTCGTAATTCATTCTCGACCTGTATTATATCCGTTCTTTATATAAGAATGAGCATGTGTGATATGATTACCAATGAGACGAACTATCCATCAGGGTTCAAATGAGATAAAAGCAATCATAGACACCGTACAATGAGAAAAACTCATACCGTATAGGTAGCTATAAAAAGGCCCCATATGGAAAATATGAAACAATTCAAACGAGAAAACAAACGGCCTAATTTATACAATACAGTTTACGAAACACAAATTACACAAACTCGAACTAACGACAAACACTGAACTTCAGGCTCGTGACTTTGGACAATATGTTTTTGAGCTTGACCTGTTTTAATGGATAAACCATACTTGAATTAAGGGTTAGAACTGTACTTGTACTAGGCCAGATTCTATCTATTTCATTAATCTAAATTGTGTTATTTACTATCATCTAGAATTATACAATTCTTCTCTATGGTTTTTCATACTCTTTAATATTTTAAACAAAATGCAATTAGGACTTGTTAGTGTGTCAATGTATTTTTCTTCAAATTTATCCATAATAAGAACAATTCGTACAAATTATGAATGGAACAACATATTCAGTGTATATTTGGTTCCTTCATGTGGAGTAAGTATTTCGTGGGTAGGTGACTTTAAACGAATATGCTGTATTATCTATATGTCTATAATGTCTATATATAATGTTCAAAACATTTAATTACATTACTTTGCAAAATGATTTTCACACAACAGGTACTTCATTTCAACACAAAAAAAGATAATGCATAATTCTATGTAGAATTCAATCGCTAAATCTATATTTTTACGATAGTGTATAGATTACAGGGCTGATATGCATAAATTACTTAAGTTAAGATTTGTTCCGAACGGACGGATTTGTCTACATGTCTCACGATACATTAGTACTACAATTGGATGTCTTAACTTAAATGGTTTTATGCATATCAGCGCTGGTCTCTGTATTAAGTTAAGACAAATATACATATTTTTTAAGGACTTTACCAGATTGACAGCCAATAGGTATGTATTATTCAAGAAAATGGTCATATAGATATATATCACTACATCTTATGAAAAACAATCCCATTTATCACATTTCATAAAACCGTTGCATACACTATTTCGTGTCCACTGTTCAAAGATCTTTTTAAAGGAAAGTGTTATTTTTTTATTAACATTGACTATTCGCTCCCAATCTCCACAAACAAGGTACAAAGTTTAATTGAATACAATTCAATTGAAATTAACAGCCTTAAACTCTTGCAAATGTAGCAAATTGATACCATAACAATGTCACAATTAAAGTAACCACTCATTTGATGATTTGAGCATGCTGAATGAAATTTATTTGAATTAACGGAAACAATTCTAGTTATACTATATATGAATATGTACTTAAATTAGATCTAGAATGTAGTATGGTGATCAGTACACAATTACCTTGGAGTAGACATCTTTGGTCTACACTTCGGCTTTTTCTAGAAAATAAGGAAGATTGGCATCATGCTTCCAAATTGTTGCAAGATATTGAAGATGGCATTCAACCAGTTTAACCATATTTTTAAGAGCACACTCTGGTGGCATTCAGCTTTTTGGATTACGCTTATCTTTCCGTGGTCTCTGTTTGTTGAGCTTCTTGTAATGTCACTGATGCTGGGTTGATATTAGCTGGACAGTACAATGTTTTACAATATCCAAATAAATGTTTGTTTCAAATGATGCTAACGTTATGAAGTACATTGTTTCATCTCTCTTGTACTATCAATACTTTGTAGATAATGCTAGTTTTCAAGGATGCTTGTTACCCATTTCTCATGAGATATTTAATAGTATTTTGGAATAAAATCATTTCCTCCCATTGCCAAAGAAAGTGCAATTTTCTTTGTAAAGTTGCCAAATCTTTTTTCCAAACGGGATATAATTTCTGTAATATCATACAGATCCGGTTTAGCTTTTTGCAACAAAACGGGTGTCTTAAATGATACATCTTCCTTTCTTGATCAAAACTGTAATAGAGCAAACAGATGTATCACTACACTACCAATGCCACCAGATGTTATTATGCTTATAACGGACTCTAAGATATTGGAAGTCTTTTGTAGTTTTACTCTCGTTCCTGCTTTCAAGTCATCCGGAGTGAAGCCATATTATTGTCTCACAAACAGTCATGTGCCTTATACTTGGACAAAGACGCATAGTCTTTCCTATCACGGCATTTGATACATAAGCTATGCAGTCTTTTCCAGATGATACTGGGGCTTGAAATTTGACTCATGCAAATTAAAAGAATGCACATTTTATACGTTTGCCTATATCAGTTTGAACTTTATGTTTATGTCACTGCATAAGAGGCCAAGACTATTCAGATGCTCTTCAGCATCCTGTAATTGGAGACCCTCGAGAGTATACAAAAGAGTTTTAATGATGGCCATTTTAATGCCTGTACACTTTTCCAATCCACTCTTAGAGCGGTCTGGTTTAACAAATGCCTGGCAAGTTTCCATATTAGAGCTCATGCAATCAACTACAAATTTTGTTGATTTTTTACCAGTGACTTACTCTTTCTTTTGTTTTCCTCAGCTTTTGATTTTAGGATTATTCTTTTTATCTTTGAAACTCGAATCGTTGTCCCTTTTGACGATTTCAATATACTTTTATCTTCTTTGATACAATCTACTGCTGACAGATCTGAACATTCTTCTCTCTTAAATCCGAAAAGCTCTTCCTCAAAAACATATTTTTAATCATATAATCACTTGCTGATAAGAAATATTTATCAAGAATATCATCTGGCAGACTGATACTTAGCGGATCATAGATGTTTCGCACGTCTCTAATTTTTTTCAAATGACAGAGCACCCATTGGAATGATCAGCTTTGAAACAAATATTACACATTTCAGGTATTTGTTTTGATAGCTCAATCTGTAGTCTTTTGACTTCTTTGTCCTCTCCTTGAAAACTTGATCCCGACTTAGCGCTTGTGTTGATAGATGCAAATTAATTTCTGCTTTTTGTGATAGAAGAGTCAGTCTGTTGTAGTCTGTTATCAAATTTGTGTGTCCTGCTTTCAGAATATTCCAGTATGTTTTCAAATTCCTGTAGCCTGCTTTCAGATTTACTGTCTTCTTTGAAAGATGACTAGCCTTCCTTATTCTTATACAACAAGCGTGAGCGAACTCCTTCAACTCCAGAAAACTGATCTACTAGTAACAGTTGAAGTATAACAGATTCCATTGTAGAACTTGGTCTTAACCCCTTTAGAGCATCTCTGTGATTTTTTGCGCGCTGATTATCAAGAGCTACGTTTACTTAACCGTCTTTGGGAGGCGTTGAAAATAAAGTCTCTTTTTTTATTTCTGGCGATGAGTTCCTACTAAAATGTGGGCATGTAGTAGATCAACACAAAAGGTTGCATATGATTTTGCCCCGTTCAGAAATGAAAACGGCAAGAAAGCTTTAACAGCTGCTAAAAGAAGACTTTATCCATCATTACCAATAACTGGTTCCGCTACAGATATAGCTATAATTTCATCGCATTAATTTGAAATGTCATCATGAAAACAGAAAACAGGATTTTTACTGCTGTCTTTCTCTATAAAACTTTTTAACGATCCGCCCCATTCCAATGTGTCTATACAACCCAGTTTGTATGAAGTGAGAGCGTCTTCTTGTTGATCTCTTGTCAATGTAGAGTAAAACTGCATTAAACATGCCAGATGTGATGCTGCAGACAAGGGTCTAATGTATCTAGTAGCTAAATCAGTGTTGTTCATCGTTAAAAATTTGGTCCATTTTTGTGTGTCCTCTTCATCTTTCATGTATTTAAGCAGATGTAGAATCCCTGCAATTATATAGGCACTGATCAGGTTGGTAAAGTTTTATTTCCTTAAATGTAGTACAGGAAAATCAGGTAAACATTGTTGAAAATATTTGTCTTCTTTGATGAATTAAATAAGCAACTTTTGCAATTTCGTGATCAAGAGCAAAAATAATCCTATGTAGACGATTAACTCCATGTAAGCGACCCAGTTTTACAAGTGCATCATACAGTATCTGTTTAAAAGTTGTCAAATCGTCATCCCTTCCTGTTGGTGGTTCAGGATGTCTGCAGAGTAAAGAAGATACTTGAAACTGTGTGATCTCAAATGAAATATATTCATCAGATTTTAAGTTATCTCTTCAATCTTCAATGTATAAGGACCGAAAACGTTGAAGAGCTATAAACCAAAAAGGACTTAAAAATATAGCCAAATCCATTTAAGGCCAACTTTGCCTGAGGGAGTTGAAACCTTACTATCTTTATAATTTCAGAATTTATAAACGTCAGTTTTATAAAGTTTGTTATAAATTATGTAACTACCGAAGTACAGACTACTGAGCTGATGATACCCTCGGGGCCTGATAGCCTACCACCAGAGGTATCGACTTAGTGCTGTAAAAACTGAAAACAACATGTTATAAATTTCATGCGTCCGAAGAGCTTTTCTAGATTTACCTTGATCACGAACGCTCAAAGTCGAATACTTGAAAGCTGAGGATGTATAAGGACCGAAAATGTTGAAGAGCTATAAACCAAAAAGGACCTACAAAATATAGTCAAATACATTCAAGGCCAACTTTGTCTGAGGGAGTTGAAACCTTACTATTTTTATAATTTCAAAACTTATAAACAGCAGTTTTATAACGTTTGTTATAAAACATGTAACTACCGAAGTAATGATTACTAAGCTAATGATACCCTCGGGGACTGATAGGCCACCAGCATAGGTATCGACTCAGTGCTGTTAAAAATGAATACAACACGTTATAAATTTCATGCGTCCGGCGCATTTTTCTGGATTTATCTTCACCAGGAACACTCAAAGCCGAATATTTGAAAGCCGAGGATGTATAAGGACCGAAAACATTGAAGAGCTTTAAACCAAAAAGAACCTAAAAATATAACCAAAGCCATCTAAGGCCAACTTTGCATGAGAGTGTTGAAACCTTAGTTTTTTATAATTTCAAAATTTATAAACTGGCAATTCTATAAAGTTTGTTATAAATCTTGTCCGTACCAAAGTACTGACTACTAAGCTGATGATACCCTCGGGGCTGATAGTCCACCAGCAGAGGTATCGACTCAGTGCTGTAAAAAATGAAAACATTAACTTGGTTACATCATCGATGTGTTGCTCATTTGTATCATCGATGTCTTGTTCATTTGTATTTCTTGTCATCTGGATGAGAGATTGAAATAACTGTTGTGTTATTAGATTTACTGAGTGTAAGAATAATGCCCAATTCAGTTGGCGTTTGAGCTTGTACATAATTTCACTCTCTCTACCTGTCAAATTCAACAAAAGATGCACATGTTCTTTTAACAGTTCAATGCGATTGAAGCAATTGCAGTTCAAACCATTGACGCAGTCATTTAAATGTCAAAGTTTTGTGATATATGACTCTGTAGAAAGACCCCTGAGTGTAATTGGCATGTGCATATTTAGGATTTTTGGTTTTCTCCTCGATCTGGATCTTCATGTGTAAACAAGCGTTCTAAAGTATCCATGAAAAGGATAATATTACAATCTCTCATTGCAATTTTGCGCTCTCTTGGCTCCTCGTTCTCAATAAATACCTATGTAAGAGGGTGCTTCTTCATATATGCATTGTAGTTAACCTTTTCGGATTCTGCTTCTTTCTGAAGCCATCGTTCTGCTTTTTTTAAACTTTGACTTGTTCCACTGTGTGAGGTTATGTCAAATACTGTCTTGACTGAGTGATAATTTATGACAAGCTCTTCAGTGTTCATAAGCTGTAATGATTCTGTATATTTTTTTTATTAAAATATTTAGTCCATTCTCATGTGACATGTAGAGCCTTGAAATCTTTTTTACCAAGAAACTGTCAATATGTTGTGGGTCGGTTTTCGTCAGATGTTTGGAGTTGAAAAATGAAGATGTTAAGATCTCTTTCATTTTCAAAGATACGGTTAGAAACCATCCTTGAAGCAACTGAAAAAATGTTCAATGCAATGGTTTATAAATGAATTCCTGTATATGTTGGTAACATTGAAGACAATAATTGTAATCATCTGTTTCAATCTCGTGGGCTGGAAAGCATTCCCTAGCTCTTTCTTCCTTTGAAACACATTCTACTGACTAGGATAGTTTCCAGTGAAATATTCATCGCGTAAATAAAAACGATGACATGAGCTGTTTTCACTGTTTTTACAGGAATACCTTCGGTTGATTTTTAAATTCTTATAATGATACATATTTCATCATGATCTAAGTTTCCTTTCTCAACAAATACATGCACTACAAAATCATGCCTAACTGTGACTTTGAGATGAAGAACAGCAATAAAAGCGCTGTTCCTTTGCTTATTGTGTGTTCTCATTTTTGCTGTGCATGTACTGATTTTGTATCATGGATGGGTACCCCATATCCTTTGTATTTCTATTGACATACTGATGGCAAACAGTCTACAGTTGCTATAGAATATTCATGTTCTGTTGGGACAAGGTCTCGTATGACTGCATTTATAGAACTGTCTAGTCGGACATAGCTATGATAAGTTCGAACATATTCAAAGCTTTCCTTCATTAGCTCATCGTATGCCTTCTTCCTTTCGCAATTTAAGGTTATGTTTTTAAAACACGGCTCTAATAAATCTTAAAACTTTGTTTGGTCGTCTGTAAATTTTACCAGTACATGAACTTAAATTTTAAAATATCTTCATATTCTAGTGAAGTGTCATTGTTTTCCTGCCAATGATACTCAAATAGGAAAGTTTTATCCACTCCATTTCTGCATATTCATGCTTTTGATTTGTTTTAAGTGTATAAAGGTCATTTTACTTTATGTCAATTTGTAAAAGACATGGTTCAAAATTGCTTTTAGAAATTTCTTCATAAATGGTGAAAATTGACAAATCTGAATGCGCTTTATTTGGAATAAGTAGTTTTGTTCATGATTTCATCAAATGTTGTTCTGCAGATTTGTTGTTATACATAAGGATTGAAAAATTTATATCTTGAAAAAATTTGTCTTAAATTTTTTTCATTAATATTTATGTATGATAAAATTTTTCACTTACAAATGAAATATTGCATTGTCTCCCTTCAAACTGTTTCTTCTTTTTTTCTCTTTGTTTTTTTTTTTCTAACAGGGAATTGATCTTTTGCATATCATGTACACATAACATGCTTCTTATCGTGATATGACCAGTTACATATGGTGGTAATCATTATTAACTTTGACAACTATTATATTACATACTAAGTTGATAATTAGCAGGAGGGATAGCTAGTGTCTTCGTTTGAGCAGAATGTTTGCTCCCTAAGCCGTAAACTGTTAAAACGACGATTTAATATCAAGTTAATTGTATACCTTTTAACAATACAGTGGCTAAACCTCTTCTATATGGACAGCCACCGACAATCCTAACCACAAGTTCGTACTAAAGCAAGACCTATTTAGCAAAAAATAAAGCTAAAAAGGCACCAAGGGAAACCAGAGGTATTTAAGATATTTTAAGAACCATTACTCCTTGGCAACGAAATGAAAATCAACATGAGAAGAAAAGGGATTGCTAAAATGTATACATTCAAAAAAATTCTTTTAAAAGTCTTTGGGTTGCTTTTGTCCATGGTCGCATGTTTTATTTACAGATACTCTAAATCTCCTGTTTTTTTTTCTCGTTATGCATAAAAGAAAAAAGTATGTGTATCCGAAGAACCCTATAACATGATTAAGTTTATCAAAATTACTACAAAACCTTCAATAAATTCCAGTGATGTAATCTGAAAACATAAATTAAAACAAACTACAGTTGACTTTAATGAAAACGACGAAGATACAAACAGTGGTTTATAAACGACTGATGAGCAACACTAACCTATTAAATCTAGGAAAGAACTCAGTTGCTCCGGGAAGGTAAGCATTTCCGACTTAGTGAAATCCATCGTGGTACTCATTGCAGGTTAACATTTGGGGTCAACTAGGAGATGCAAACTCCAGATGCATTCGCTGCTAGAATGATGTTACACAGAAATGAAACGTTTCTGGATAATTGATTTAAATGTAACTTCATAACATAAAAGATTTTCAAAATGGACAATTAGAACCTGTTTAGATTCATTGGTCTATGAAAAAATCAATCCCCACACCAATAATGAACAGAAATCAATAAAACAGACTTTAAAATACAAACATAGCACAAAAAGAAATCCTCAAATACCTATAGTTAAGATTTCTAGAGAACAACAGCGATGAAATATGATTCCTGTGTACATTTCAGTGTCCGAACATAATGCAAAGAGAATCGATTTTAATTACAAATTCTGGTACAGAATAACGCTGATTGGTTTAAAGCCTTTTTGTATTTTTTTTACAATGCAGTGATCGACTCAAAGTGTCAAATATGACCAGCTTTGAAGAATCAGTGAGATTTAAATATAGACAGAGAACTGTCCCCCCATTCTCAATTAAGAGTGAAAACCAAACAGCCGTCCCAAGGAAACAAGCAGTAAGTTATCTTGATTAAATTTTTATCATTTTTCTAATTAATGAATATATGCAATGTTAGTCTATTTACTTTTATTCCAAGGTAATATGTTCTTCAAATCAGCAATAGTGGTTAAACATGTTAAAGATAGCAACATCTAAAAAATTACAGCACATTTTTGTTTACATATTATTATCGAGTAATGCAATTTGAGGCGCATTAGGGATATTGGCTCAATTTAATTTGTAATGAATTAGACAGAAAATTTACCCATTCTTGATTTTACCGGACGTGTGTACATTCAAGTCCATCAGGTTAATGTATGTTGTCACAGCATATACAGGATAATCTATTAAACAAATTTCGAAATTCGTGTACCCACGAACCTCACAGTATGGTTTTTTGGAAAATTTCTCTGTTTCTTTTTTTTATTTTGGTGATGACATTGACACACGATAGACCAATAAACATTGAACTAACTTAGATATATATTAGTTCACATAGTCCGAAACCTAAATATGTAGGTTGCTACACATCTGAACACCCTTTTCTTGAATATGGGTGGTTGCGACGCACTTTTGACATATCCGTGATATTTTTAAGAATAATTTACCTTACTATCAAACAGTAGTTTTAATCCTCCTGAACATGTATCTAATTAGATTTATGCTTTTATCTATTACCATTTCTGATACGATAGATAACACGGAATAAAGGTCATCCATTATTTTTGAACTTGTATGACAAACATTGTCAATAACCTATTCATTTTATTTCCGTTGTTTTTGTTTTTTAGATATTTAAATAACATGGACAAATTCATTTATCATATGATAGTGTTTAGTTCCCATATCAATCATCTTAGTACTATTTATATTTTATATTAAATTCAAAAAGGGTTGGTTGCAAAAGTTAAAATTGGTCCATGAAGACATGTGTATAGTATAAATATGCTTCGGAAAATTATACTTATTTAAGTTAGATTTTAACGTTGTATTGTCATCTCCACTAGTCTCAGCCATGTTGAAATATCTGCAGAAACTACACAGAAAGAGTCAGTTTACAAATAATTTACAACAACAAAATATCTATCCTCAATCAAGTATTTATGGGTAGGAAGATTGGTTATCTGAGCTTTGGGTCATCATAAAGGGTAGTTTAGAAAAAAAATCTCCCCGTTTTGTATATTCGTTCAGTCGCAACATTAAACCTAGAACTATACATACGTTTAAGGTCCTATTTTGACCAATGGTAATGTACATTATTATAGATTTATAAAACACGTGGCTGTTAACGTGACTAAGGTTACAACGGTATGTGTATCAGATAAGAGGAATAAATACATTAAGTATAATCTCATTTTGCATCAGAATTGCTACAAAGTAGTTGGTTTTTTTCACTCCTAAACTCCACAAAGTTTACGGGAAACCCAATTGACCTGGTTTCAAAGGGAACCATGTCAAGACCAATGATTTAGCATTTGCCTTAATTAGCCACGTTATTGTATGGTTAGGCTAAGATTCACGAAAGCGGCGATCTTGTGTATCAACCCCCTTTTTAAAAAATACGGTCTTTAAAAATTACTGGCTATGAATACATACATACATATAACATTGTTTCAAGATATACAAGGGCTGTGTTAATACATGTATGCACTTGTCTAGATGTTTAATTGCATTACATCTTTTGGCAAATACACCACTTGTAAGTTTAGATGGCGCCAAGTAAAAACTTCATTTTAAACCTCTCGGAGGGTTTTACAGTAATTTTACAAATTCTCCCCATGATGAAAAATGCAAATCATGAAAGATTATTTGACCATCATTATCACTGTACGAACAAACTAAAACAATATATTCAGCAAGCACGACCCAGGCATACAAATTAAACAAAATTTTGAAAGTAAGCCGTAATCGGGTACACGCTTAATTTATACCATACAACTCTATCGAAAATATTATGATTTCACCTTTCAAATTGATAGACACCTAGTTTTTAGTTATCTGTTAGTTACTGACAGTACTTCAGTTATTGGCTCAAAATTAAAAACACAACTACATACATTTCATGTGTCCTAGGCGCTTAACTGGATTTACCTTCATCAGGAACGCTCAAAGCCAAATATTTGAAAACCGTTTAAAACTATACGACCAAAAGCTTAAAAAAGCAAATTCCATCTCCGGTCAACTTTGTCTATGGAAATTGACACCTTCATTTCTTTCTTATAATTTCAAAATTTATAAACGGACAATTTCAGAAATGTTTGTTATAAATCGTGTCAGTACTGACTACTGAGCTGATGATACCCCCGGGGACCGATAGATTAACAAAGCAAATGCTCTGCAGCTTATCAAGTCTATGATATAACGTTAATCAGTGAACAGTAATTATTGATCAACATACAATTTAATGTTTAAAAATAAAAAAAAAATAGATTTTGTAAAGGATCTTCTATAAAATAGACATAGCACAATCCGAATCAGTGAACAGTAATTATTGATCAACATATACAAGTGAAAAAGTAACGATACACAAGTTTGAACTCCAATTTATCATAAAATATAATAAATAGGAAAAACTGTAAAACTATCCAACGAAAAACATTCATTTGCAAAGCAAATGCATATGATTAAAAGAATCTGACTAAATTGGGAAGTGAGAAAATACCGTGTTATTGAACACAGGGGTCACATTTATTTTGCGGAAAATGATGACAAATGTCGGCACTTAATTTCGAAGATGAGAATAAAGTATTCAAAATTTAGGCAGACCATGTTTAAGTTAAAGGTTTTAGATTGTTATATTGATTTTCGAATATTTGGGTGAAAATACGATTTTTAAAATATCAAAAATTGCAAAAAAAAAAAATTCGCGTATTTGCCTTAAATCAAAGGTTCTGATAAAAAAATTAACACTCTGTAAATATTAGACCAATTGGGCAATTATTTACCTTGGTACAGTGTATCCAATTTTATTTTATATGGAAAATACATTACCTTGTATCGTTTCTTTAGTATACAATTTAATATTTAAACATGTTAAACATTTAAAAAAAAAATTGTAAAGGATCTTCAATAAAATAGACATAGCACAATACGAATCAGTGAACAGTAATTATTGATCAACATACAATTTAATGTTTAAAAATTTATAAAAAAACATTTTGTAAAGGACCTTCCATTGAATAAACATAGCGTTTGATTTTGTCAGTTTTCATGGTCTTTCAATTTTTGTTTTATACTTTGGAGTTCGGTAATTTTGTGATTACATTTTGTACAGTAACAAAGAATGAATACGAATGTCTCTACATCCGCAATAGAATGACGATATAAGCAAAGTCCTTTGTTTTAAAAAGAAATGCATAATTACAAATACACTATACAGTTACAATGAATCAGATGATGCAATAGTCAATCTTTTCTATTTCAGTTTGTATTGGATACAAAGACAATACGCAATCACCTTTATTCGTGAGTTGAATACTAATATAATAGATTTCAGAAAATCAACTGCTATCATGTGATGCATGTTCATTGCACTGTCTTATTGTAAAAAAGTCAATTTCACGTATATTTCGTATGGACAAGTTAATGCTGAGTTCATGTGAACATAATGAAGTCGTAGTCTTACTTTGCAGTGGCAAAATTAATCAAGGACAAAACTGAAAATGGAAATGGGGAATGTTTCAAAGAGACAACAAACCGACCAAATAGCAGAAAACAGCCGAAGGCCACCAATGGGTCTTCAACACAGCCATAAAATCCCTCACCCGGAGGCGGGCTTCAGCTGGCCCCTCAACAAAAATGTGTACTAGTTCAGTGAAAATGGACGTCACACTAAACTCAAAAACATATAAATGAACTAAAATTAAATAAACACACAAGACTAACAAAGACCAGAGGCTCCTGACTTGGGACAGGCGCAAAAATGCGGCGGGGTTAAACATGTTTTGTGAGATCTCAACCCTCCCCCTATACCTCTAGGCAATATAGAATAAACAAATACACAGCAATACGCACAGTAAAACTCAGTTTAAAGTCCGAGTCCAATGTTAGAATAGGTAACAAAAGAAACTAAGCAAAATGACAATGATACATAAATTAACAAAGGACTCCTAGCAGTTACTGACATGACAGCTCCAGATATCAATTAAACTGATTGAAAGATTATGTCTTCGTCATATGAAAATCAAGCACAATCCCTACTCTAAGGGATTTATTATCATACCATCATAAAATATACGAGAAGAACATAACCCGTATCATGTCAACAACTGGTTTTAGAATAAATGTGTTTATTTCCGATGCAAAGACCCTATGAGTGAATCAATATTAATACCAAAATATGCCATCTTCAATGACCTGACAACAGAATAGCAACTATATCCCTTCTAAATAAGTCTGTTTAAAGGTTTGGATAGCTTTTGAGGTGAATGTCGACATCGTTGTACTTTGTATAGAATATTACCATAAAAGATTGGATGTGAAATACCTGAACGTATACATGGTATAAGATGTCTGCATGTTGATTTGTATTTACGAATGATGCATATTTTATAGGTTATCTGAATTAAGCTCTAAATTTTAATAGTCACATTAATTGTTTTTTGTTTGATTACATCCACGTTTTCTTAAGGGATGGTATATTGTGATCGGGGAATCCGTCCGTCTGTCCGTCTGTCCGTCCGTCCTTCCGTCCGTTCGTTCATTTATGCGTTGCCCTTCTTTCACATTTTATTTTGTAACAACAACTGATCCTGAACAGGTTGACATAATTATGCGAAACTTTCAAGTAAACTGTTCTTTTGCACCGTTTATTTCAATAATTCATATGAATATTTTTGGGGGTTTACTTTGAGATGACACGGACTTTTCTGCACATTATAATACACTCGTCTTAAACCCCATATTACAATTTATTGAAAAGTTATCAAAATCATCACCATATAATGACCTTAAACATTTTTTTATCTAAATTTTTTATATGAATCAGTTTTAGAGTTTCACTCACCATAGCATGAACTTTGCCATTGCTGTATTTGGGGTTACCCATTTTGTATCCGCTATCCGGGATAAATCTGTTATTAGAATGAATTCAAACTTTCTCATAATCTTAACCGTAAACTGGTATTAGACAGCTTCTATCTTAATTTATTTATCACAATCATTTTTGCTCTTTCCATCAGAAAATCATGAGAACACCACAGTACACATTAAAAGAGTATATATAACTAACCAACTGTTTGTTTTACCAATGATTATTGCATTTTATTATTATGAAAATCAAACTGAGATCTGTTTTACGTAAATATACACAGTCTTTACTGAACACGATGATCAAGTACACTATTTATTAAATTTTATTGTTTTATCCTATATTTCAGAAAGAAATTTCATAAAAATAAAACAATAAATAAGGTTTATGAATGAAAATAAATTTGATATAGGATTGGTTTTATTCCTAAGTTTTATTTTGTTCACTTTGTATCTTATTTTCACAATTTGATCAACAATATCAAAATTTGTCAAATTCAATACATTGTCCCGGTAAATTTATGAGACATTTCTCCAAAATTGTACATATCTAGTTATACAACTTTTTGCATATTTTCCTTAATTTAATAGCCTTCACAGAAAGTTACAGATAAATTTATGGCTGCAATTCAGTTAAAGTGAACTATAACTGTTGAAACAACAAAAGTGCTTATGTATTTGTCAACCCGCAATTGATACAATCAGTTTGATACCGAATGGATACTTATGCCTCTTAAAATAGATTATTTTTTCACTTTCCCTCATTTTGTTTAATCACATTTTTTTGGAGAATGATACATTGTTGTACATGAGAGGCGAAAGATACCAAAGGGACATAGTTGTTGTTAAACGTAAGAGGCAATCAACTATTGAAAGTGACTAATATTTTTACATGTTCGATATGATACATGTTGTTTCAAAATTAAAAGTTACGTTAATTAGACAAAAGTCCTCATTTATTCGATACACGACAATCCTACAGTATAGAGCGCACACAATGATACATATGTACGGTGAAAGAAACAAATGCAAATTAGAGGTTTTATAACGAGTGAGAATTTGATATCGCTTGATATCAACTTGAGTTTTTTAATTTCAATATGACAATAAACGAGCCTCCGGCGAGTTTGTTTTCTATACTATTAAATGAGAAGACCTCATGTTGTGTGTAAATAAACTCATCATAGATACCAGGATTTAAATTTTGTATTTACGCCAGACGCGCGTTTCGTCTACAAAAGACTCATCATTGACGCTCGAATCCCAAAAAGTACGAAGTTGAAGAGCATTGAGGACCAAAATTCCTAAACGTTTTGCCAAATACAGCTAAAGTAATATATTCCTTCCCCAATAATTTAATCATTATGCCTCTGTGTCCTATAGGTACCACGCATAGTCGCATTTGTCATCCTCGCTTATGATTATTCCGTTTTAATTATTTTGGGGAGGAAAACAAAAATAAAGGCGTCCGGATATTGTTTCTGTCATCGGACGGACTTTTAAGTCATAGACACCTTCTATCTTAATTTATTTATCACAATCATTTTTGCTCTTTCCATCAGAAAATCATGAGAACACCACAGTACACATTAAAAGAGTATATATAACTAACCAACTGTTCGTTTTACCAATGATTATTGCATTTTATTATTATGAAAATCAAACTGAGATCTGTTTTACGTAAATATACACAGTCTTTACTGAACACGATGAACAAGTACACTATTTATTAAATTTTATTGTTTTATCCTATATTTCAGAAAGACATTTCATAAAAATAAAGCAATAAATAAGGTTAATGAATGAAAATAAATTTAATATAGGATTGGTTTTATTCCTAAGTTTTATTTTGTTCACTTTGTATCTTATTTTCATAATTTGATCAACAATATCAAAATTTGCCAAATTCAATATTTTGTCCCGGTAAATTTATGAGACATTTCTCCAAAACTGTACATATCTAGTTATACAACTTTTTGCATATTTTCCTTAATTTAATAGCCTTCACAAAACGCTACAGATAAATTTATGGCTGCAATTCAGTTAAAGTGAACTATAACTGTTGAAACAACAAAAGTGCTTATGTATTTGTCAACCCGCAATTGATACAATCAGTTTGATACCGAATGGATACTTATGCCTCTTAAAATAAATTATTTTTTCACTTTCCATCATTTTGTTTAATCACATTTTTTTTTGGAGAATGATACATTGTTGTACATGAGAGGCGAAAGATACCAAAGGGACATACATGTTGTTAAACATAAGAAGCAATCAACTATTGAAAGTGACTAATATTTTTAAAAGTTCGATATGATACATGTTGTTTCAAAATTAAAAGTTACGTTTGTTAGACAAAAGTCCTCATTTATTCGATACACGACAATCATACAGTATAGAGCGCACACAATGATACATATGTACGGTGAAAGAAACAAATACAAATTAGAGGTTTTATAACGAGTGAGAATTTGATATCGCTTGATATCAACTCGAGTTTTTTAATTTCAATATGACAATAAACGAGCCTCCGGCGAGTTTGTTTTCTATACTATTAAATGAGAAGACCTCATGTTGTGTGTAAATAAACTCATCATAGATACCAGGATTTAAATTTGTATTTACGCCAGACGCCCGTTTCGTCTACAAAAGACTCATCATTGACGCTCGAATCCCAAAAAGTACGAAGTTGAAGAGCATTGAGGACCAAAATTCCTAAACGTTTTGCCAAATACAGCTAAAGTAATATATTCCTTCCCCAATAATTTGATCATTATGCCTCTGTGTCCTATAGGTACCACGCATAGTCGCATTTGTCATCCTCGCTTATGATTATTCCGTTTTGATCATTTTGGGAGGAAAACGAAAATAAAGGCGTCCGGATATTGTTTCCGTCATCGGACGGACTTTTAAGTCATAGACAAGCCTTCCGTTTAGGACTGTTTAAAATTACACAGAATTTTGGTAAATTTACAAACAACCCTTAATACCTAACTTGATTACATACAATATTTTGGGTACCTGAGCTACAGGAACCGGTATCAAACATTCCTTCGGTCACTGGAAGCGATAAAAATCCGATTTCTTGAGACCCCTGGAACCGGTATACAATCATGTTTTATTTAAGAAATAATTCATGCAAGCCATAGATTTGTTGAAAATTTTCACATGGCTTGGGTCGTTATATTGGAATTTTATTCCGAGCGTAAGCAAGGGATAAAATTAACAAATATAACGAACTAGGCCATGTGAAAATGAAAACAAATCTATGGAATGCATGAATTATTTTGATTCTAATATGGCAAAGTTTCCCACTGAAAACTCTGACGCCATTTTAGTAAAATATGGCGTTTTTGTTCATAAATCGCATTGTGACATCGTCGAATTATAGTGGTTGTGGTTTATTGAGTATTTTATTATGGCTCTATTCATATGATGTAATAAGCACCCCATATTAGAATTAATTTGCTTTCTTAAAAGTCAACACCTTATTAAGTTTGACGCCATTTCCAGAATTCATTAAAATATGACGGTTTTGAGCACAAATCGCATTGTTTATTGAGTATTTTATTATGGCTCTATTCATAATTCCAATCGTATTTGCAAATATCACATAATAATCTGATTTCATTAGTGGAATCCGTTTCGAATGACTGAAATTAAAAAGGTTAACATATCGATTATTCTGTCTTCTGCACAACGAAACAAAAAGCATGGAGACAAAGCAACTCGCCTCCTAAAAATTGTGCTCTCATGCTACTACAAGTAGTTGACTTTTGCATTGACATTCTTCAGATTTACATCCAATATTTGAAACTGGTGAAAAATTCAAAATGTTATATTGACATTAGTTCGTGTTTAAGACACTTTTTGGTACCTTTCCTGAACTTCTCCAGTCATAAAATCTTTTACAAAAATCATCTTACAACAGTTTGCATACTTTCAACCACGCTCTAAATGCCCGCGATTTCGCGGGTGTGTCCTAGATACTATTTAAATTAAATAACGAGAGTTGATATCAATCGATATCCAATTCTCACAAGTTGTTAAACCTATTTCTTTTATGGTCAACACTCTCGTTGTGTTAAATTAAATATTCCGCGAATAGTTGATCTAGTCTCTTGCACATTCAAGTATGACGTCATATGTTCTGCTCCGGTGTCAAACTTTAACATCGGACATTTTAAAACTTTTTGTACGCTTCAGAATGTTATAAATTTTGACAAAATGAAGATTTTTAGGTGAAAATTGTGATTGTTTTGTATAATTTTGAAGAAATCACATGTGTCCGTTGCCATGGACGAAATGCACATCGTCTTAACCTTTGAAAGTCATCAATGACCTACCGAATAGCCAATGGAAATATCGTAATATCGTCTCATAATGCCGGATAAGCCAATCAAATTAATTCAAATTTTCGTATCATTTTTTCGTATCACACTCCGTGCAGTGTGATACGATAATACCTTTTAATGCAAGAAATAGATAAGAAGCCACAACCATAAGAGAACTGGATTTAAACAGGGTTTTGAAGTATCCTATATCTTTTATATATTTTTGTACACCGTTTTACATGTGCATGTCATCTGTTGGGTGTTAATCTGTTTATCAATGAACTTTGTTGGAACATATTTGAACTCTTTTTTTGTAAATTTTGTACTATTGGCGTGTATGATTAAGCATAACAAAGACTTGTTTTCTTGTTTAAGGACAAGAAATGAGAAAAATTTTACCTCCAAGTCTAAAGACAATTTGAAGAGTGGAGCGAGATGTATTCTTGTATGTATTAATACAATATGTATATATATTATAATCGGATAAAATAAATATATGTAACTTTACAATATCAAACTCAACATCAAAATAAGAATTGTTTTACATGCATGATAAGCAGAGATTGTGACTATCAAAAACAACATTTAATTTACATCAAATGTTTCCCCTTTTTATTAAAAATACGGAATCGGCACAATTAATAAGTAGATTTAATATTAAAGGGTGGTTTGTATAGCAAAAAGGTTTGCCTGCATCAACCAACATTCGAGATATACATTGTTTCTCAAATTAGAAAAGGTAAGAATAATGACGTTATCACAATCGAGATGTTACAACGTAGACATTGACGCTTAGAAACAAGGGATTATATATAATTACTAAGTTGTCTTTGAATCAGTTGCAATAAAATAAAGCAAAAAAAAACTATCAAAATTACTAAGAATGTTAAACGTATCTTTTTAATGGTTTATAACATGCTGTATCTAACAAGTTCTAGTTGATGTGAGGGGTAAAGAAACATATTTTATATTTTCCTACACTAATTTGATATCTGAAATATTCATCCCACCATATTTGGAGGAATTATGTCCTTACATCTACAGTCGTATATATATAGCATTTAAATAGCAACAAAATAAGATTTACCATATTACTATAAACAAAACCTCAAACAAACCAAACTGTCTTTTGCACTAAAAGGAAAGAAAATGGTCATAATTTCTCGTCCAGTCTATCATGGACAGCCACACATTTTTAACAATATTACATAACTAAAACATTCTCTAATGTTTGAACAAAAAGAGAACAGTCCAGGTTTTTTGTTTTAATTTGCATATAAATAAAAATTAATTTCAAGGTAGAATCCTATGAAATTGAAATTTGTAAAAAACGAGTGTCTGGTTGTTATCAAAGGCATAGAGTTGAAAGTATTCCAATCTTCAATCTGCATTTTTATATACATTTCCATTTATTGGGGAAGATACTGTATTATCTTTCAAAAACAGTTGATGAAAATATTTATTGAAGTTTTGGACTTTTTTTATGAGATCTTTTGAGATGACCCAAGGGACACCTTTTTCATACGGAGTTCTTGTGTCCTTGACTACATCCTATTGACATCTTTACATCTGGATCGACGTGCTATCCAATTAATGTCTCTTATATATACTGAGAAAGTACATATATTCAGTATATTACGGAAATATAATCATATTCTTTTTCTTAAACGTTTTCGTTAGTTTGTTTATAATCAAAATCATATTCATACCCGTAGAAAAACAAATGTGTGAATAATCATTTACTATGCATCATCATTCCAAAGATAGACAACAATATGTTCACTGACATGTGACATTCGTATATCTCTGTTCGAAGATGACACGTTTGTTTGGGGAACATGTCTCCATTAAGCTTAATCGGCATTGTTTTTGATCGAAGATATTACTGAAATCGTATAAGTAAATAACACTTGAGACAGTTACTTTATATGAAATCGATTAAATGGGACTGGTGACGGGAAACGTGTAGTGTCGATTTAAGTTGTTTTGCTTCATAACGATGTCTCTGTTCATGACGTATAACAAAACTGTGAAAAACGATAATCACCATAAACCGGTGTTACTCACAGTAGGCAGTTACTGCTTCATTTTTGGTAACCGTTATGTTGCTTATGCAAGTCAAATCCCCTGATTAGTCGCATTCGGTAATGTCACAAGCGCGAAAATGGGGACGGGATTGAGGTTTTTACAAATTGATCACATCTGTTGTCATGAGTGTTTCGAACGAACAATTTGAAAAGGAATGAATTCAACTTCATCATCTGGAATCATTGCCGCGATTGAGGTATATAACATCATGCAATAAAGCAGATGGTATGTTGATACTGAGAAACGGAAAGTATTAATAGGTAAACTGAAATCATCATATTTCACCTAAATCTTTGGTGGAAGTCGTATTTCCGTGTTAATTGCAAGAACGAGATTTTAATATTAAGCAGACTTTATAGTTTTGGTGATTTCTGCAATGCCGAGTACATTGGGATACATGAGATGCAAGAACTTACTGAAAAGTGTGTTAATAAATGAGAGCACAACATCAATAGTTCTGTTATTTTGCAATCAATTTGAATTGGCAATGTATGTATTATTCTTTCTTTTGTAAAGGATTTTATATTTTGAATTATCATCAGGTCGGAAAACCTTTTTCTTTATTTTCAGTGTTCATTACTAGGTGAAAAAGCAGATAAAAAAATATGGGAAAAAGAAAAACCGGTAGCACTTCTATCTATAATAGGAGGATCAGACGAATATCTGCCTACTGAAACGATTAGAAATCAACTAAAAAGTGGTTTGCTTGCAATTATGAAAACAATAAGTAAGCTTGCATAATGTACATTGTCATTTTAATTGTTTGGTAATCATACAATTTGTTGACCCAATTTGTTTAAGTTTATGAGTTGATATCATTACAGATGACAGACACTACTATGCCCAAAAAGATAAAATACATGAAGCAAAACAGAGATTCTAAAACACAACACGAAAAAAAGACTAAAAAACATGCACCTTAAATTTAATTTTTTTTTTTTTTTTTTTTTTTGGATAATTGCAGTATACTGTCCTTTTATAAATAAAACAGGGCAAAGTTCTCACAAATGATGTTGTAAAATTAATAAGAATTGAAACATCAAATCAAAATCAATTCAGCGTTCTTTATACACAATAAAACGATCTTACGGAGTGTGACTTATCGTCGGAATTTTACTTCGATGGGCGTCTAGTGAAGCTGACAATTGATTATTCATCAGCTACGTGAATGAGGCCTGTTTTGGCTGTATTCATGATGCTTGATATTTATTGTAATATTCAATGCATTATTGACTGATCTCTTACTTTTCAACCTTCTCCTATAGGCCACAGTGTTATCGTCCGTCATCTATTATGGATTTTGTATGCCTCTTTCTTTTTTGTTCCCTTTTTCACAAAATATTATTTACAAGGGCCACTGTACCTAATGCTCTCAACATCGTTAAATATGTTGGAAACAATTTAGCCTGGTAAATAAAGAAGCTATTTACTCCGTTGGCAACTTTGGGATAACAATATAACTTGATACTTATTTCCATAATGTATGAATTTATAGGTGATCTACTGAGAGTCAAATAGTATACAATTTTATCGTTATAACATTTCCTCTGAAATTCCCTTGTATATCTTGGTTACACAAACTACAGCATGGACAACATATCAAGTCATTGGTCCATCTAGGCTTCAAGAGAATGTTTAACTTAATTAGTTTCCTGACTAATATTTAATGACGTCCTTTCAATTTTGGTAAGCATAGGCAAAATAATGAAAAAAAAAAACATTTTTTTGGGAGTGAAACAAATACTACGGATACTTTGGATACTTAGGGTTACTTTAAAATTGTATTGCATCTAGGTTTCTAGTATTGAATGTTCTATTCTCTACACTACATTTACACGAGGTATTGTTCAACAGAAATCCTCTCTTTTATCAAATGGACCAACGAGAATCTGAGAGAATAATTGTTTGCTGAAACTCTTGTTGGGTTGTACGCGTACTCTGCGATGGGAAGAAATTATATTCTTAATGTGCTTGCTCTAACATTGTTGAAATGATTTTAAATTATGCACATCGTATTGCATGCCTTATTCTACATCCTAATTTGTAAGAAACTGTTGTAATTTTGGCTCATGTAAGCAATGTAAGCGTGTTAGTTATTGAAGGGTTATTGATGTTGATGTTATTTGTTTCAGTAATATATTTGACTATGGAATATATTTTGACTTTAAGGTGCGTGGCTTGTTTTTCTATGTAGTTGTTAGCGTCCTCTAAATGCTCATATTTTGGCATTATATAGAGTCTGTTTTGCTGCCAATGACACATTTTAGTAGATCTGTAGAAATTGTTCTGGAAACTGCTTTTCTATTGGAAGGCATGATTTGTTCGCTGCGCTGACTTTCGGTGATTGCATGTGATTTTTGGACTGGTGCTTAGTTTCTACTATTTATTTTTTTTGTTGTTATGTGTGCCTACAGTCTTATTGCAGTACAGTGGATTTGTGGTATAGACAGGCGTGTTTAGTCTTGTGGTATTCCCTGTGTGCAATTCCCGAACCGGCGTTTCCTTAATTATCATTAAAGTTAAAAAGTCTTTAAAAAATGGTGTAGGTATTTGTTTTTTAAATCACATAGTCACGTTATGTTCTTTCTTTTTATACAAAATTATTTCTGACGTAATTCTAGTAGTTATTTGAAATATTCACATTCACAATTTTTTACATAAAACAGGTGTATAGATAAATTGGTATAATTTCTCGCGGGATCATTACATACATACTTGATGAATAATTGTAAATGATGATATCCAACTTTTGTCACTGCAATCATATGCATGAAACACATATGATTACATAAAAGATCAAGAGTTTAACATAAAGATTGGTCAATAGATGTTCTTGACAATAATGATACATCTCTTTATTCATATTTCAACTATAGACGGGTGTTAATAGAAGAAATATCAAGCTGATCTCAGACAGCAATTACATGTTACCGTGCGGCCATTTAATAAACAAAACAAATACCGTATAATAAGCTATAAAGGGTCATAGGAAGACAATGTTAAATGGTTCAAAAGAGAAAACCTACAGCTACAAAAAAGTAGGAAAACCGATAATAGAAAATAGCAAACAACGACAACCACTGGATTTCAGGCTTTTTGTTTGAGACAGGCACATAATGAATGTGTCGAGGTTAAATATATTTGTATGCGCTAAGAAAATCTCTCTTCAATGTATTGCCCAAGTTCTTAGTTAAAAAAATAAGAAAATGACGAATAGATAATGTTATTTTTTTTTAATACTAAGTAAACAATTAGAATTATTGGTCTTAATTGATATGTACTATGTACGTCATGTGTGTAATTACAGAATTAAACCAAGATTACTAAATATCGACCCACTTTGTACAAATCTTTTTAACATTAAGGCTTCGATTCACATATTATAACTCTTGGATGTAAACAAAAAGAGGTTGAAGATACAAAGGGGACATCCAAAACATACAAGTCGAAAAGAAACTATAATATCATGGAAAACTGAAAGACGACGAAAAGACAAAGAAATCAACGAAACATTTATGTACATAGAACACTAAAATTTGACCCGCAGGAACTCAAAACTTTGGGGGTCTCAAGTGCTCTGGAAGGGTTAGCAGATATTGTTGCATATGTGGCAACCGTCACAAACTTTCCTTCAATTTCTTAATAATAACAATAACTAATAACTGAGTCCGGTATCTTTGATGAGATTCTTTTATTGTCATTATTATCATTATAATGTTTATTATTATTATCATTCTTCTTCTTCTTCTTCTTCTTCTTCTTCTTCTTCTTCTTCTTCTTCTTCTTATTATTATTATTAGTAGTAGTATTGTTATCATTATTATTATTATCATTATTATCATTATTATTATTATTATTATTATTATTATTATTATTATTATTGTCATTATTATTATTATCATAATTACAATAAGTATTATTTTTATGTTTAAGATATTTGGATTATTACTGAAGGAAGCAAAACAGGTGTTGCGGTGATTGTTAAAGAAGTGATTCAGGGAAATATTGGGAAAAGCATACCTCATGTTTTTCATAGGGATTCTAGTATTACGCACGAGGTAAGAAAAAGCTGAATTAAACTTAATTGTTGGTCAATTCTAACAAACACATAGATTAGTGCAAAACAATGAAGGCAATAATATTGAGACATTTATCAACTTCTCTTTATCGTGTTATTTTCAAATGTAGAAATGTAGGATGGGACTTTTTATTGAATATTTTAAGGACACAATATAAAATGTTGGTGTGGTATGATTGTCAATGAGACAACTATCCACCGAAGTTCAAAAGGAGTGGATGTTATCAATTATAGGCAAACGTACACCCTTCAAAAATGAGAAAAACCCATTCCGTATAGTCGGCTATACAAAGCCCCGACATGCAAAATATGAAACAATTCAATTGCGAAAAATTAGCGGCCAGATGTATAACAAAAGAATGTAAGAAAATCAAATATGACAGACATGAACCAACGACAACTAGTTCTGAATCACAGGCGCCTGACTTGGGACATGCACAAAAAGAACGTAGCGGGGTAAAACCTGTTTGAGGGCACCAGCCCTCCCTAAACCTAGGACAGAGTTGTAACACTACAACATAAGAACAAACTATACAAATCAGTTGAAGAGGGCTAAACTCATTAGTTCGATGCAAATCAGCAAAAAAAACATCTAGCAGAAACAGACAGGACGTGGCATGGAATTAATACATCCCTTACTACAGGTCAGAAAACAACACGAGCCTGTGCAACGCCAGAATTTAGGTATTGACAGATTGCTATTATTAAAAGACAAAGCTATATCACAAGATCTCCGAGAAATTTGGACACATTTTCTTACAAAATCACTTTAAATACTTATAAGTTGGATATAAAGTTTACCCAAAACTAAGTTCTTTAACCGACAATATATGAAATAGAAAAAAAAATGTAGATGATCAGTTCTGACAAGAGCATGTTCAGTCCCTATTATTACTCGATACGTTAATCGTGTACAAAATCAAATATGAATTGTTTTCATATTTAATCAAACATCTGTGAAGTATAGTAAGGCATATTATCGGTTCTCCTTTGCGTGACCTAAAGTTATTTGAATTTATTTTCAGCTAATTTTAGAGCTAACGATATGTTTAAGAGTCAAATCTGCGTTTTACGTTTCTTTAAAGAGATCGATGTTTAATGCTTTTCAGAGAGAAAAATAATTTCTTCAAAGTGATTAACCATTTAAAAAATACCAGTCAAGACTTTTAAATATGGTTTATTTAGATTACTGAAAATATATAAACACGAAAGACAGAAGCTAGGGCAGAACGTCCATAAATTTGCAGCTCACGTTAGTCGAATGAAATCTTTTTAAGTATTATATCTATTTCATTTGTAAGTTAAGTTTCAGCCTTTATTCCTGGTCTTTTTCTTCAAATTTTTCAATAACTTATCTTATTTATTAATGTCTACGGTCCAAACATATCAAAATACGAATAGGTCAGAAAAACATCAAAGATACCAGGCTAATAATTTGCTACGCAATACGCCCGTTTCGTCTACTATATTAACCAGAAGTGCTCGAATAATACAGTTGGATAACGAAGTTGAAGATAAATGCAAGCCAAATATTCCGAAAAGTTGTGCCAAATACGAGTAAGGCCATTTATGTCATTGGGTAGACAAACCTTAGTTTATGCAATTCAGCAAACAAAGTGATGACTAATTGGCCAGCGATCTCTCCGTAACAAAACGTTTATCAGTAGTGGAATTAACCCAGTTGTTGTAAAAACTTAACATGCTTATGATTTATTAAGTCAGATGTGCATTTCTTCTTTATAAGAATATCAGTGGCGTTCGAATAAAAACAAATGGAAGTCTAAATCAACATTACGTTGAAGATCATTGCAGGTCGATTATTTTGAAAGTGGTGTCACATAAGACTACAACGATCTATTTAAACCAGGCCATTGTCGCGTCGTAGTTAGTTCGAGATTTTCCGACAAATTTATATTTGCACCGCTTTTAATTCGTAAAAATGCGGTATTTTTCATCTACGGTCTCTGTCTTATGAATCAAGTGTCTTTTAAAATATAAAGGTAGTGCTTTTCCGAATCTGCTCTTATCGTCAAAATGGTGAAAATCCAACTACCGCACACATTATTCCTTACAGTTTACCTTCCTATGTATTCATTTGTCGCTATCCTAGAGATCATAAAACACCATGTTAAACGATAGTGGAATGATTCATTCCCCAGTGATCTGCTTATTCTCCTGAACTCTAGAGGAGGCTCCCCAGAAAATAAAATCAGGCTCAAAACTAAATATAGCATTTATTTAATATCTTGAACGGATGTTAATCTAGTCCCTTCTTACCTTTTTGCTATGCCTTTATCTGAGATGATTGTTTGAATTTGAATGAACGTAATCTATGAATAAAAGGTAAACTATTAAAGCATTAACACAATGTATCTTAAACGTATACTTATTCTATAACTTCGTCTGGAAGTTTTTTTGTACCCGTAAAAATTCGTATTACAACGGTGGTATCACATTCGATCGTATTATTGAAATTGCTCGTAAAATAACAAGCAATCAATATGAACTTACTGATCTTTTGAGTAGATTTAGTCTCAAAGGTTATCGATTTAACGTAGTGGTGACATCATTTAATATCGTCTTGATTTCATCCCCATAGCCAGTACTAGTACAACAATTTGATCTGAACAGCACAGATTTTCAACCCCTGGAATAGAATATCGAAGCTGTATTTTACAAAATTTTTCGGAATTTTGAGTCCTCAATGTGTTTCAACTTCGTACTTTATTTTGCCTTTTTATCTTTTAGATTCAAGCGTCATTAGTTTGTCTTTTATAGACGAAACGCGAGTCTAGCGAACACAATTGTAATCTTGTTATCTATGATAATGATATTTATAACGGCGTTTTCAGTAAAATACGCTGCAGTAAACATAGTATAGTTCAGACAATTCGTTTGGAGTCAATTAAGATCTATTTAGTCTATGTTCAGACTGTTCAGTACAGTACTTGCAACCTTAGGCGTTACTGTTTGACGTGAACTTGACTGATCGGTGAATGATCGGTGACGGATGTTTGACTGATCGATGACTGATCGGTGATCGATGACCCATAGAATCCGTCAGATACGTCAAATATGCTATGTGAGAGTTACCGTGACAACGGTCAGCGATCGATCAGTAAATTAATTGTATGCACGGATCGGACGGATACGTATATAATTAAAATTCTTATGTAAAACGAACTCCACAGTATTTACAGTTGAATTCAATTATTTCTCTATTTTAATGGAAATTATTTACCTCCTATGGCTTTTTGTACTTTTTATGGTTCAGGATTGGTTGTTTTTTTATAAAATCAAAATAATATCTGAGAAAATATACTTAAATGTTGTTTGCATTGATTAAAATAACCAATTTTTCTTTTATTCTTTTGATGAAAAAATATGCAATATTATTTGTAACTAGTTATTTTAAAGTCCTCCAATAAGATTTTGTTTTTTTGTGAGAATTTTGATAATGTAAGGAGAATAGTACTTAAACTTTTGTTTTGTGTTGAATACGAATGCAATAATTTCTTTATTTTGACATAAATTATGAACCGTCATTTGATTTAGGTACTTTTTGTACATCATGATTGGTTGTTTTTCATAAAATATGCTGAATTTCAGGGAAAAGATACTAAATTTTTGTTCACTTTGCTTTAAAATGCAAATATTTCTTCTTTTATATCAGAAAAAATGCAATGTCAATTGCAATCAGTCATCATAAATGCCTTTAGATAAGTAATTTTGTATAAAATGTGAATCATTGAGGATAAATATGCATAAACCTTTGTTTTTGTTAGATAAGAATGCAATAATTTCTTTATTTTGATAGAAATTATGAACCGTCATTTGATTTTGGTTCTTTTTGTACATCAGGATTGGTTGTTTTTCATAAAATATGCTGAAATTACCAATTTCTCTTGTTTTGTTAAAAAATAATGCAATGCTATTTGTAACTAATTATTTCAAAGGCTTCAAGATTAATTTTTTTATTAAAATTTTAATATTGTAAGTAGAATAAGGCTTAAACTTTTTTTTGGTGTTGAAAATGAATGTAATAATATCTTCATTTTGATAGAAATAATGAATCACCATTTGATTTCAGTACTTTTTGTACATCAGGATTGGTTGCATTTCATAAAATATGTTGAATTTAAGGGATCAGATACTAAATTTGATATTCGCATTGCATAAAAATACAAATATTTCTTCTTTTATATCAGAAATAGTGCAATGCAATTGCTATCAGTCATTATAAATGCCTTTAGATAAGTAATTTTTAATAAAATGTGAATAAAGAAGGATAGATATGCATAAACTTTTGTTTCTGCTGAAATAGAATGCAATAATTCCTTTATTTGAATGGAAATTATTGACCGTCATTCGATTTTTATACTTTTTATATATTAGGATTGATTATTTTTTATTAAATTAAAAGACGTTCAGAAAAAATATACTATAATGTTGTTCTCGTTGTTTAAAATTACCAATATTTTTAATTTTTAAGAGAATTTGCAGCATTTTTATTTTTATTTGTGATTTGTTATTTTAATGGCCTCGAGATAAGTTCGTTTAAAGAATTTTAAGATTATAAGGATAAAATACTTAAAAATATTTAAAAATAATACATCGAAATTTGCCATAAATGATCATTTCATTTTATTTTCAAGAGCATTTTCGGAAAATAATAAAATCACTGAAAATCGCGATCAACACCGTTTTAGAAATGTCCGGGTTTGAAAAAATATAACCTAAATTAAAACGAAAATGGCAATTCTTTAATAGTAATATTTAAATTTAGTTTTATATGCATATTTCTTTTCTTTTTAAATTCTTAAAACTGTGCTAAATAATTAATAAAAAAAAGTTGTTGATCATTTGTACTTGAATGTTTCGTATTTTCAATGTCGCCATTTTAATTAAATGAAACGAAACTAAAATTTCGTAATTTGTATTTGTTTATCATGTGACGTAGTAGAGTTCAATCCGTCAGAAAAGTCGATCGGTCCTATCCGTCCGATCCGTCCGATCAGTCAAATACTTTTACTATAAGTCTGACGGATTGGTGACGTGAGTTTGACGCGAAGTTGACTGATCGGTGACTGATCGATGACCGCTGATTGATCGCTAAAACAGTAACGCCTAAAGTTGCAAGTACTGTAGTTGTTATTTCTTTACACATCAACATCAAACTGAACTGTCTCTAAAGCTACTGAACAGTACTGATTGTTGCCTGCAATGGAACAATCGGAACATTACTGAATATACCGCTGTGGATAAATCTAAAAATTGACTGAAAGATTGAACATGGCTTGATTATTTATTTGTCAGACTTTTCAGATGATGTTAAGATCAAAATATACGTGTCAGACTAAAATATATTTAATAGTGCAGGAGATTTTAGTCAAGTTGTTGCCGTTTGTTGCCATTTGACATTCCCGTTATTTATGGATGTAATTAGCCTACCAGGTCGTAACCTTTCTATTTTGAATTGTTTTCACGTTTTGTTATCCCGGGGCATTTATGCCTTACTTTGTATGGGTTTTGCGTATTATTGAAATCGGTTTGGTGACTTGTCGTTATGTAATGATTGTAAATTATTATTTTGTTGTGGATAAATGACTCATTGGAATCAAACCACCAGTCCGTCTGTCAAGCTCAGATCACTCTTTGTGGTTCCATGGCACTACTCTTACATGCAACGCTTCAAAAATATAGTTTGGTATAGGATTATATTAACACGATGATGGTACACACAAGCAAAGTAAATATAACTCAACGGAAGTTTTTTTTTCCATTTACAGGTTTTGCTATTAGAAACATTAGACACTAAAAGATAGTATTTTCATAAACATATTTTTTATTAAGATATTAAGTTCAACTCTTTGCAGGATCGAAACACAGGGCAAGCAGAAACAACAAGCGTTGAAGATTGCATTTTAGGTTAGTCAATATTTTTTATTAATATTAGGGCAGAATGAACATTTTTAGACTAGTACTATTCAATCCTTGTATCGATAAAATGAATAACACGCAGCAGTAATTAAGACCAATAATTGTAGCACAGTATCATTTATGCAAACACGTAACAAATAGAGTTAATATTAGTGTAAGTTTAACACAGTGTATATCCTTATTTCACTTGATGTCAATGATATTTTGAAAATAAAAACATTTTAATTAGTGTTGACTTCGATTACCTAACGTCAGAGTAAGCTTTTTGAATGATGAAACTACTTTCCACTTGGTAATTTTGCTGCAGGAACTTTGCAGTTTATTTTCAGAATACAGCATTATGATCGTCGATTTGTTTTTCTCATGAGTTTTTTTTTTTTAAGTCTTTTAAATCTAACAAATCAAATATATACTGTAATAGTCTAGGTTTATTGAAAAAAAGTCGTATACAAAGCTTTCAACTAACTCAAAAACCTTTATTTTATCAAAATCCTAAGAAATTTACTGTATCAAAAAATTGTCCTAGCGTTCCCTCATTCGTCGACAGCTTTTCCGTATGCACTGACCTTTATCTTTTGTTTAAAATTCCGGTTATCACACAATACAAAGGCGAAGGGAATAGCCGTTATAACAAGTAAGTAAATATTATTGGAATATTGTATCAATCAACTCTGGAAGATATCTGAATTATCTAACAACTGTTATAACAAAGTTTGATAAACAAATTGGAAAGCATAGAAAGTATTAGATAAACACCAATTAAACATTGTTAAATCATCTTGCCTAATTTTCGCATGCTCTGTGCTTCTGTGTTGATTTTTAATTCCTGTCACGATTTGTTGAACTTCAGCAACAAACCTCAAAATTTGATTAGCAGCCATAGTTTTCGATCAAAAATTACAGAATGAAATATCGATTGTCAATTACACGAAATTGATTTGGAATACATGTTAAAAAAGTGCTAATAAGACTTAGTCTAGACTTAGTCTAGTTTAATTTTTGCGATGTTGGTTTGCCCTGCGACGTATGGTTTTTGATTTCCTCGTGTTATATCTCTCCTTTCTTATAAACATGTATTTTAAAAACCTTTTCGTTAAGTGTTACCTTATAAATGTGTTTTGTTCAAATCATTACGTTTGAACAACAACAACTACTGAGTAAAGAAGAACAATTATGATAAAGTGAATTGTATAGACAACTGCATTTAGCATCATATATTTAAAAGCTCATCAAAGATAAAAATATTGTTTTTAAAATGAGACTTATTTTACCGAAATTGACAGAATAAAGCCAGTTAGTAATTTTTGAAATACTAAGAATTTTCGACCCCTGGAATAATCATCTTATCTGAAATTGATATAACCTTTTGAAATTTTGGGTTCTTAATGCTCTTCAATTTTTTTGGCCTGTTTAACGTTTTATTCGATTCTACCATCACTGATGAGTTACTTGTAAACAAAACGCGCGTCTTACGTATACAATTTAAAGCCTATTATCTATAATTAGTTTATTTTGCATACAATTTTTTTTTAACAATAGATCACATCAAGATTCCATTAATAATGATTATTGTTGGAGGCGAACAAGACTCATTCGAGATTGCAATGAGTAACTTAGAGAAGAAAGTTCCTGTTTTAGTAATTGATGGATCTGGAAGTGCGGCAGACTTTATCTCTAAGGGGTACAGAATGAGCACGCATAAAAAAAGGTTAGTGTTATCATAATGATTTATCAATCATTGTTTTTCTTTGTTATCACACACTTCACATTTTTAAAAGATAATATATTTCTTTTGTCTGTATGCACAACTCTCTGTTACTAGTTTTGTATAACATATACAAAAAGATGGATGCATGATTGCCAATAAGACTATAATCAACCAAAGTTAAATATACGTGGATACGATCAACTGTAGGTCATTATACGATCTTTATCAATGACCAAAGCACATGCTGTAAAGTCGGTAATAAGATAAGACTCATAGGAGAAAAACATGTCTAATTGATGACAAGAAATACAGAAAAATAAAAAAACATATATCCCCCACCGACAACCACTTGATAACAAATTCCTGATTTGGAATAGGTCCAATTCCTCCCTGACTAAGCTATCAATCGGTACAAATCCAACATATGCAGTGAAGCACGTTAAGAAACGCTTTTAGATAGGCATGACCCTGTAGAGTGCCAAAACATGCGTACATATTAATAACAGGATGTAAGACAATACTTCGTCATTACCGTATAGGAATAAAAATATATAGGAATGTTTTATTATTTTCAATTACAAAATCAATGTTAGTACTAATAATGTCTACTACAGTATTATATTTATTAGAGAGGCGAAAGATACCAATGGGACATTCAAACTCATAAGTAGAAAATTAACTGATAACGCAAACATTCTATTCGGAATAGTGTTAAGTTGTTCACCTTTTCACCTTTTTTTAGACTTATACAACAATGTCAATTAATTTCTGACATTAACCTTATGGTGCAGCTTGTTTGATTTTGATATTAGTAATGACACGAAAAATAATGACAATAAAAATAACATTAACATTAAGAACAATAATGATTATATCAATGACAATAATAGTTATTATTATAATATGATAATAATAGTACTGTATGATAAACAAAACAAAATATCTATGAATAGTACATAACCCCCCAAAAGAGAATTTGTTTGTTAAACAGCCGTGTTTACAAAGTGCAACCTATACTAACGTTTATTCAAATTGGAAAATTGAAAAACTCCTGTTTTAACAACAATACTTATTTATCAGAATCATAGGCTTAAAGAATCACTGTGAGTACTCTCACTTTTCTTTAACAATACATTTAATACCCCACCCCTGTTTCATTTTTTAAGAATTTGAAAAACAAGACTTTAGTTATTATCAGCTTACCTTATGTGCATGCTTCCTTACATGAACTGCTTAGAACCTGTAGGAAATTACTCTGATAACAAATTGAAAGCATTTCAAAATGCTAAAATTATAAAGTATAATAGTTAATCATTCCAACATATATTCTGCCTCTTTCCCAGGTCCACATCTTACTGTATGCCCAGTTATCTATAAAAGGTCACAATTTCTGCCACAAATGGTCAGGTTAGAAATATTGTCACGATTATATCATCTATAACCATATATTTAACATAATTTGGTTAAGTATATGAACTAGAACATGTAGAAGGGTTTAAACAAAGCCATATTTGCAAAAGTTGTATGTATGAAGTTACGGGTTCGATATAAAAATTCATTAAAAGTTTATAGAACTGACTGCTAAAATCTGTTCAAAGCAAGGTTATTGTTTTAAATAATAAAATCATAGCCTTTACAGGTTAAAGTATGTTTTTTATGACCAAAGGGTTATGAATATTTGTCTGTTGATTTTTTTTTTGTTTGCCATTAAGGCCTCAAATTTGCTAAATTATTCTGCTGTTTCAGTGAATACGGAATTTTTAGTATATTTCTTGAATAGAGCACCTAATTGTTAGTTTTATATATATATACATTGTCTTATTAAAGCGCAACCTGATATAACATATTAATACAAATATGAAACATATTTTATAATGTCAGCCAGCCTTCATAGGCTTATGATGCACTACACTTCTAAAGTTCTAAAGTTTTATAGAGATATTTTTGTATCTCTAGCTTGTTTTTGTCGCGGTCACAAGAAAGTACAGCCAGGTGTTACGGCTTAGTTATTGGTTTTCGAAAGGACAAAACAAAAACCAACAACAATCTTCATTAAGGATCTATGAGATTCACAGACTTCGAAGAGTAAATAAAAGCTCTTCTTAACAATTCAAAATACATATATGCATACATGTATGTTTTGAATTTATTTGCATACTTGGCTTTGATTAAACTATGCATAATATAAACTGTTTATTTATGCTGAGTTATCATATCTAAGGCCCAGAATTTCTAAATCTATATAAAATATTTATGAAACGTTATATTTGGGTTAATTTTATTAAAATATCCGAAGATAAACCACATTTGGTGATATTCTACATGTTCTCCTTTTTCACCCAACATAGGTTGTACTTCTGAAAATATAGACAATGGAATCTCCCGTAGGAACTCCTTTTACGGCTAATTCTGTGCAACTTTTACTATGAAGATTCGTAAAAAAAATGTATCCTAGAATGAAAAGTTCATATGCACTACACTGTTTTCAAAGGTCAAAACATAGGACTGTGCGGCATATTTTCTACATTTATATACCTCGAACCTCTAAGAGTTTAAACTTTAAAAAAAATATGTACTATCCCTTCCTTGACTTCAGAATTACATTTGGCCACTATCCATGAGCATTCATACTGGTAAAATTCCCAAGATATGTCTCTATAATGTGATCATATCTGGGAACCAGTAGGTAAACAAAACAAAATATCTATGAATATTATATATCTCCCCAAAAGAGGCGTGGTTTGTAAAACAGCTGTATTTACAAAGTGCAACCTATAAGTCTATTAAATAATTAGTGAGTCATGGTTCAGTCTTTTAGTCAATTTGTAGACTTTTTCTACTGTGGAAAATTCAGTTTTTTTCCGACAATTACAGGTTTTAGGTTGAAATTGACAATATTCTGACATTGAGGTGACCAATGATTTGTTCGTACTACTTAATCATGTAAATGGAGAAACAACATATATAAACTTTAAAACTTTAATTTAAACCGACCAATCATTCCAAGTCAGCGCTCTACCACGCTACTAATGCAGTAACAATAAAGGGAACAAGAATAATTCATAATAAAACTATATAATGCAGATAAATCGGTTTCCGTAAGGATGAAAATTCATATATATAAAAGTAAGGAGATGTGGTATGATTCCCAATGAGACAACTATCCAACAAAGTTATATGTTCGAGGAGCTTCTGTACAGTTTCAATTTTTATTGTCATTTTAGATTGTAGTTTTTGGGATATATTAACAAAGGAGAAGAAACTAGTAACTTTATTTGAAACCGCAAAACAATCAATAAGTCATCGTTCTAGATTATTGGCAAAATGAGGCTAATGATGTTCGTAAATATTTTTTTTTGTATTCCGGTTGCTGGCTTGTTGACGTAAGCCCAATATCTTCTTTATTCAAACATGTAAAAACTTGCATATTTTTGGGAATCTCGAGAGCTCGTTACTGTAGCCAATTTAGTTTTATTTTTAAATCCTGGGAAATTATATGCATATGAATTAAGGTCTTTTAAAGGAACAGAAAAAAGAGATTATTTGCCGGAAAAGGAAATTAGAAAAGAAGAGTATTTCTGAGGGATTTTTTTTTTTATTGATTTTAAAACAGTGCATTGAATTAAATTGATCTAACAGATTATTAGTTTATACTTTGTCTTTTTGTATATTCACAGTGAAGAAAAGACCTTGTTCTATGATACATTCAAATCTGAAATGACAGATGCAGCAAAAAGCATATTTACTTCCAATGATGAACAGAATACTTCTGACTCAAGTTGTGAGATTCTGGCAGAACAACTGCATAATGGATTGGAGATAAATCGGAAATGTGTACGCATTCTTTTTTTCAAGAATGTCCGCGACAACAAAACGTATCTTTTTATTGGCAATAATTTTGCATTTATCTTCTTTTTCCTGAGATAGGGACTTTGCATGAAATAACCTTGTTATCACTTGAACGAATGATAAGCCTTTACAATTAGACCGTTAGTTGATTTTACTTTATGTGCAACCAGACGAGTTGATTCATTTTGTAAGTTCAGAACGTAAATTTAGTTTTATGTTTTTTTTTATCTATTAATATTTTCTTTTGAAACAAGTAAAATAACAAATATACCGAACTCCAAGAAAAATTCAAAACGAAAAGTCCTTTATCAAATGGCAAATTTAAAAGCTCAAACTCATCAAACGAATTGAAAACAACTTTTATATTCCTAACTTGGTACAGGCATTTCCTTATGTCGAAAATGGTGGATTAAACCTGGTCTTATAGCTAGCGAAACCTCTCACTTGTATGACAGTCGATTAGAATTGCATTATATTGACAACAATATGTGAGCAAAAAAAAAGATATAAAAGGTAAAAATGCCAAAAAAAGGGGTAGAATGTTCTGTGATAATTATTCTAAATTTTGGCATAGAATTAGAGAATTATCTTTGGAAAATAAATCCATTTCATTATAGTTCTGACATCTGTTACCTTAGCTGTATTTGGCAAAACATTTCGGGATTTCGGTCATTAATGATCTTCAACTTCGTACATTATTTGGCAATTTTAAGATTCTTGATTTGAGCATCATTTATGAGTCTTTTGTAGTCAGAACGCGCGTCATGCGAACATAATTTAATTTCTTGTATCTATGATGAGTTTATTGATAATGTTATACATTTGTGCAGTCAATCAAAGATATCATGAATATGTTGACATGAGTTGAAGAACCGTAGCTCAATTGTTTTCTGAATTCTAAACGGGCTTTAAAAAAGGAAATATTGATTTACAATCCAAAGTTTGTGGTTTGCTTTGAATACAATGCCATATTTAGTCTTTTTAATGATATAAGAATTGTTCTTGGATTCCATGTTACAGATTTATACTAGAATACCATTTTTTAACTTATCCGTTCAGAAATTAAGAAATGAATAAGAAGCTAAGGTTTTGAGTATTTTTTTGTTAGCTTTGCTAATGACGGTAAATCCAGGAAAGCGTTTTGGACGCACATAAGTTATCAAGTGTTATTAACATTTGTTGTATGTTAAGCATTGACTATCATAAAATATAAGCCAAGGTGGAACACTTGCTATATCAAACATAATCTTAAAATAAACATTATCTTTTTACCAAAAGATATATAAATATTCATTCATGTAGAGCCCAATATCATATCTTTCAATGCACGTATGCATTTCATTTAAACAAGAAATATGAACCCGCAGCATTCCTTTTCTTAGCTGATGTCAATGTTCATGTTTTCATCTGTAACGTTTGAAGTTTTGAATATGCCTTAAATAAGAAAACAAAAGTTCTTTGATTTGGACATTGCCGGGGTCTGTCTTTAATTGTTTTGCAATCATATCAAACTAAAGTTCACATGCCTGCTATACAGAATATATTTGAAATATGTGTTGAACATCTTTGAATTTACTGATTAATAGAAAAGAGATAAAGGTTTATGAACCTGCCAGAATGACATGTTCAATCTAAATAAATCTATGCCCCAAATTTATGTACTTGACCTATTACAAATAGTATCTAAGGAACCAACGTGATCGCACAAAGTTGGCCAATTAATAATGCATTGAGGTGAAGGTCGATTACACCTTAAGCCTTTCAGACGGCCGTGTAGAACTTACAGTCATTCCCTACACCAAAAATAATGTACATATTGCTTACAATATCTGAAAACAAACCTTACCACGAAAACTGTTATCACTCATCCATTAAATGAGGGCAACATAGGTGTACCAATAGACCTTTCAGTTACTGTATTACCAAATATCGATGACCTTTTTACTCTAAAAATATTGAAAACCTTAAGTAAAATAACTACTCGTATAGTTTACCGTCTGAAAAATAAACATTAACGCAAAATAATGAGGCATCTGATGGTTCATCAATTTGCATTGCATTCGCTGAAGAGATAAAATATCGATATAAATAGTATCAAATAACATAAACGATACCAATTTTACTGCACCAGATGCGCATTTCGACAATATGTCTCTTCAGTGATGTCCGATGTTAAAATAATTGAAAACACAAAACATGAAATAGTTATTAAAGAGCTCATAAAACCAAAAGGGGCAAAAAGTATAGTCAAAGCCGGGAAAAGAATCAGAGTTTTGCATGAGATAAATTCCTAAATTTTCAATATTTTTTTAAATTTTGTAAATACCAGTATCGAAGTACGGATTCTCTGCTTGTGATACCCTCCGGAAATTGACTCTCTTGTAAATATGTGATTATATTTTCAACAGAAAAATGTAAAGTTTAGATCATTTTTTTTACAGATTTATGTGCATTCGGTAAACGATACCACATACACATTAGAGAGGACTATCCAAGATATATTATTCCAGCTATTTTGTGAAGGTTAGATTATTTTTTTTTTTATTTTGCGTACTTCTTTATACACAGGGAGAAATATACATTTTTAAAGCATTTGTTGTCGATTAGAAATGCCCCCAAACCGTCAACATGTTTGACTTTCATTTAAAACAACATAAAAGTTCAATAATCATCACAATGAAATCAGTATCTACATCTTTTCAAATCCCAATACATTGTTAACATATAAGGTCTAATTTGTGGAACTCTGAACATATTAATTTGACATCTCTATGATCTTCTGTAGGTTTTAGTGTTTAATATATGACAATTTTCGAAATTGTAAGATGAATGATCTTGGTTGATGTTGAAGGTATCAACCGCTTTCACAAACTTTATTCATGCTCATTTATCGACTACATTTAAAGTGAACATGCGATTCCCAAGTGTTTTTCTTTTTTGAAATAAATAAGTTTTTTTATAAATATTTCGAACCAATTGAAATTGTAAATAAGATTAAAAAAAAATACACTACAGTCTTTCTTATATAGAAAGATGATTAATACAAGTGATTTGTCATTTCTCATAACATATGAGCTGCGTCGGATAGAACTCGATCTTATTGAAATAAATTTCAATTCATCTGTTAACATATTTTGGGTTGAAAAAATCTCTATACAAAGTCTGTAATTGTTTGAAAATTGAGTTGATATATAAGAACCTTTCAAAACAGAGAAAAATTCATCTTTTATTTCGTATTTGAATGTTCCAAAATCTATCAAAGTCTTATACACGTACATCTACCCGCGTACTTGCATAAGGTCGATCTCTATCCGACGCAGCTATAGAGAACCATGTATTTTTGAAATCAACGTAATGTAAGCAATTACTTGGCACGGAAGTGACTTTGATTTGACTGTAATTGGCTTTTAATCTCCCTTGATTATGAAACAAGTGCCTTAACCATTGTATTTTGGAACTGAATGTGAGTGAAGCTATCTTTTAACACCAGAAATACTATTTTTGTTATCCAAATGTTCTTATCTTTGGTGAATTTCGCCGGAAAGACCTTCAATTGCGCTTTGAAAGATTGGTTTTTAATTCTTTTTTACTATTGTTAAAGTAAATGTAGAAAGATGATATTGCATTTCTGCAGTCAGGCAGCATATCACATGAAAGGATTAGTTATAGAAATTTTACTTAATTAATCATAAGACACTAAACTGTCTCATTCGCACTTATTGGTGATAATTGACGGGTGAATTTGAATTTTCTTGGATACATCGTATATAGTATAAAACAAACTGACTATTTCAGACACGAAAAATTCTCTACAGCTACAAAGAAGCATACTGCGTTTTGTAAATTTATGGAACAGACCTGATATTGCAGAGAAAGAAATATTTAATTTAGAAAACAGAAAAGTGTTAAAGATTTTACAGGTAAACATTTCAATATAACCTTTTTTAATTCCTATCCATAAGACAGGATCTTTAACTCAAGATCACCCCAGCTTGTGATGTGGTTCGTTTTTTTTCTGTGTTTACGTTGCTATATATGTTTACGTTGCTATATATTGTTTTGAAGACTGTTCATGGTCGTTTTTTTTCGTATTTTGGCAGGAGTTTTATGTTTTCTTTTCGATTAATAAGCTTTGAATTTTCCTGTAGTTTGGGTGGATCACGGATGATTCAATTTTGATAGTTTAACTTCATGAACATTAAATGGGTTACCTTTACGTCATAGATTTAAGTATAATTTTGCATACAACTTTGGCACGTTGAACTATAACTGAAAATCAAACAAATGTATGCCTTTTTTTTTCTATGAAATATATCTGATTGAATTCTTTCAAAATAGACGAACATGGGTATATGAAGCACGTAAAATTGCCGAAAAGCGTTATAAGATTTGTCTTACAATCATCAAATCACCAATTTCGAAACATTAGATTTTTCTTTTAAAAAATTATATATTGTTGGTCCAAAAAATCAAAGATATAAAATAAGCATATGTTCACCGACTTCGTTTTAGTATATTAACCAATCTGTTAGCTAGTATGTACAGAAAAACGTTAAAATATATAGAAATATGTATAAATACCCTGCCATATCCGGTCTGTGTTTTCGTCAGATGCTTTTCTGTTTTGTATCGATCTGATAAGTTAAGCCCTTTTCAACTGATTTGTATAGTTTGATCGTATGTTGTACTGTTACGCCACTGTCCAGGGTTGGTGGAGGGTTGGCGCCTTCAAACATGTTTAACCCCGCCACATTTTTTATGTGCCTGCCAAAGTCAGTAGCATGTAGTTCAGTGGTTTTCGTGGTTTTGTTATAAATTATATTTTTGTCAATTGAATTGCTTCATATTTTTCATGTCGGGACCTTTGATAACTGACTATAACTTATACGGTATGAGTTTTTATCATTGTTGAAGGCCGTACAATTGCCTGTAATTGCTACATACACTTGAACTTTGATGGATAGTTGTCTCATTGCCAATCATGCCACATCTCCTTATTTTCATAATCATCACATACATTGCATTTATTCAGGTGGTGATAGAAACCTGAATAAAAATAAGATATCTGAAATCTGGATTCATAAGTCACAACAATACATAAGATTATTTACACTGACTGATGCCGAATCTCTAGAGATACATTAAAATTCTATCGTGATTATCATTTGCTTGCTAACACCAAAAAATAATATATCTGAACACCCCATTGTCATACTATATACTTCAAGAATTGGTACCCATAAGTAGAAACAAAATGTGTAACTCTTATTTATAACAGAATGTTAAGGATTTAGTATAAAAAGAAGGATTGACAAGACCGTTACCCACGATAGGAGCACAAATGCAATTGGAAGAAACATCAATGTCCTAACACTAAATGATAAAAAAAAACAAGAAAAACAAAAATAACACAAAATCTGCCTAAGAGATGAGCCGATTGTAGGCTCTACATGTACGTAAGGCATATCCTTTTTTTACAAACGATACCCGTTTTCTTGCTCAAACACAAGTAAAAGTCTGATGATCAGTCGCATTCGGTGAAGCTAATAACGATGAAAGGAGGATTTTACTTCAAAAATGCAAAATATAACGTATCTGGGTTTTCCACGTTATAGGTATCCCGTTACGATCGAAACAATTTAGAATTGCGTCTGTCTGACTTTTTTTGAGAGAATCTGTTGGGTCTGTTGAATCATTTGCTACCTAAAATTGAGTATTTAATTGATTTATTTCAATGGCATCTTCTTTTTTCCTTACTAGTGAAGTAAGATCTGCTGACCATTCAAGCCCACCTGCACACCACTAGTTTTTGCTGAGATTCGAGTTGCTAAAATTTTAAATGTTGATAAAGCATTTTTTGGACTACTGCTTTCTTTGCATAGCTTTTCCTTCTGGTCATGATTTTGTCTGTTTATCTTATTCTTGTTTGTTTTTTTGTACCCCTCAATATATCATACTCCAACTAATTAAATTCATATTGTCTATGTTGCCTTTGAATTACTGGACAACAATACGTAAATGATACCTTATTTAAGAGCAACTATTGGACGAGACGCAATGGCTATAAATAATAAGAGGAACTGAGAAATAACGGTCAATACACAGAACAGGAGTCGTGTTAATCAAGTGTATGTATCAAGTGTAATTATATCTTTGTAATGTTATCTTCGTGAATTGATCCTAAACATAATTAGACAAATAGGCGAAGGGATTTGCCTTAAGTCATCTTAACTGATTTAGTCAATCTGTCTATATCAACAGCAATATATTGTCTATCTTATCATAATTTATTATGAAAAGAATATTAATTTTGACAATATTTTATAGGAAGAACTATGCACCAAAAGCAGTTTAGCAGAACTATTCAAGAATTCATTGGTGAGCGACAGAGTAGATATGGTTAGGCTAGTGCTTGAATTTATCCCGGTTAAAGAACTATATGAAAAGTTTTTAAATATACATATCAAAGACTTATATAAGGTAAGTCTAGACATTAATATGATACACATTTAGTCAGCTAAAGGAGGACGGGGGGGGGGGGGGTCTTAATTCAAACCCATAGAATTTTTTAATAATTTGTCAAAATTTTGTTTTTATCATGCTTTTTTTCCAAAATATATTACAAAGTATGGGTCACCGCACTTTTTTTCACGCTACAGGTTGTGCAAAATTGTCAGATTTTGTATAGATGATGCATGGAAAATCCAATTTTGTGTGATAAAAGAAAAAAACACCATAGAATTCTAAGATAAAATGTGAAGATACCTCTTAAAACATGCTTTCAGATAAGAAAAAGAAAAAAATGGATTTACCGGACTTGCTTTCTCCCTACATATGAAAATAGGTAAATTCACAACACTTTCTATTATAAAATATTTACTTTATCTAAGTTATCTCCCCTTATGTGGCAAAGTTGAAAAAAAGAATAAAAAAAAAATAATGTGTTTTTTAGAAAAAAACAGCCGTAAATATGATAAAACACATAATGTTCTATATTATCATGAAAAGTCTTACACATGAATTACATACTACTCTCAAAAATTTGCACATTTCATTAAAGATCTTGACCAATTGTTATCGGCTACTTCAAAATCCAAGATTGAGGAAGACACCCCAGCCACCTTAAAGGCATAGAGACTATGCGAAAGAAAAACGGTCGATAAATTTTGTTCTCAAGCATTATTCTGTACCCACTAGAAATATATTTACATGCAAATGGAATCTTACATACATGTAGTACATTGTAGTATCTTTTACAGGTCTATTCTATGAGTTTTCTAAATTTAGATAAGTGTGTACCTTTTTTTGCTTGTCGACTGTCTTCACACGCAGATAAAAAGAGTGATTGTGCTCACCATTTTTAAAAGGAAAATTTGTTATTAAAGATATGGAACTAATTCATGTGTAATAAGCATTTATTATATGTTAAGAGGCTAGCAGGTTAAAAGTTTGATATATTTTGGGAACTACTGGTAATTTTGTCTACAGCGGGTATTCAGTCTAATTGTTTAGTTTTAACAAACGGAGTACACATTATTTAAAATTATCCAGTAAATTATCAAATATTTAAACGAGTAGGTTCTCGAAGGGTCAATATTGACCCACAAGTTCTGTGAAATTTGATTTTATTTTTAACCAGTTAAATGCATTATGTATGAACATGATGAAACTGCTCCTTTACTAATAAAAGCAAACCTGGTCAATTACAGACTAACAGGGCATTAATACAGAGCCATTAAGAATAATCAGGGATATTACTGATTTTCAGTTGTTATCTATTCAATTACATTTCTGAGGAAAAAACATCAAGAAATTGAACGTTGAACATGTTTAAGTTCCCAAGAACCATGACTTATCGTATCTGACCTGACCCAGTTGTCAAGTTAATAATTACATAATACATTCAATGAAGTCTATCAATTTATCTACTGAGTAATTTTGAGTTTTAAAATCCAGAATGAAATCTTGTATTTTGTATGCCATATGCATTGCTTTGAATAGGACAACAAAAAAATATATTCAATCACATCACTTTAAAAGATTCTTTTTAATATTGCAATTGGTATATTCATATATATACAAATTTGCCTCAAAAAAAATCATTTGCCCGGGTTAAATATAAAACTTTGACGGTTTGGTTTATGAAAGTGTTTAGAAATTGGTGTTTTCAAATTGCCCTTGTTATTTTTTCTCGGTCAGTAATGTTGGCATCGGAGGTTGTAATGTCCATCGGCGTTGCCTCATGCCATTACAGGCATAATCGATATCAGACCTTGGACATGTATAACAGGGCCATAATGAGAACACCCATTAATTAATACTGTAGTAATACACATTAAAATGTGAAGAACAATTTTGAATAATATCCTACAAACACAAAATAATCATTCTCTGATCTTACAACAATTGGGATGTCAGTATGAGGTCATAATTGTGTACCCTAATGAAAAAAATCGTTATTTTGACTGATTTTAGCTTAATTGTAATCTTGTTTGCTTCAAACTACGTTAGCCACATGCAAAGACCACCATAATTGATTGTTAGGATGTGTATATGACCAATATATATCTTTTCATAACAATTTTATTTTGTTCAAAGGGTGCGGCCATGTTTTTCAAACGGAAATAGACCTTACAAAGGCGTATAAATAGACAATTTGGCTAAAAACTTGTAAAATATTTTACTTTTGAAGCTGTCAACATGGTTAAAACAAGCAGCAGTCAACAAAAGTGTCGAGTTTATTTAAATTTGCATATTACGGTGATACATAACTCTACAGGGAAATAACTCTGAATCACGAAACTGGAACTTGTGTCATGTTTTAGGAGTATAAAAAAGAAATGAAATAAGGGTCAAGGAAAACAAAACAACCAAAAATAGAGAAATACTTGTATATTTTCTGTTTTCGAAAGTTTCTGTGATTAAAAGTATAAATGAAATTTAAAACAACAAGCTTTCGATTATTACGAGCAGTGGAAAACAAATAAAATGAAAAAAAAAACCTTTATCCATTAGAAGACATTTGGCTTCAAAGGAAACATCCATGGTAACGGGTTTGGTTTTTAAAAACCTGTGTTTCACTGGCTTCATTAACAGTTATTATTTTCTTTCAGGACACCGGTAACATAACAGGACATTTGATTGGAAAGGTACATAATATAACATTGAGGTTATACAAATAATATAACATTAAGGTTCTAAAAATAATACCTCATACAGGTGTCAAAATTGTGTCATCAATATTTATGTGCCAAATATTATAAACAGTCAAAAAATTGAAAACAACACGTTAAATAGTTTCATGCGTCCGAAGCGCTTTTCTAGATTTACCTTCAGTAACGCTCAAAGCCGAATATTTGAAGTACTGAAACAGTTGAAGAGTTTTATGACAAAAGATACATAAAAATTGGCAAATTCATCTTTTTATGAATTAATTTTTTTATTAATTTATAAACTGACAATTTTAGAAAGGTGTGTTATAAATCATGTCAGTACCGAAGTTCTGACTTCTGAGCAGTCAACAAATTAATGGTGACGCCTGTAAAACAAACATTCCGACAAGATGGCTTTTACTTTAGAGTATTATAATACTAGTTCGTTTTCAAAATTGGTGTAATTAAATCAGTAGTTTGAACCAGGGCAGCAAAATACTTAAGTTCGCTACTCTGTTTCAAAATAATAAGCGTTTTAAAAGACTGTTATAAATTGAAAGTATATGAATAAAGGAACTTAAAAAGCAGAAAATATTGAAGGGTCTATGTGCTTGTTTTCGCGGTATAAGCCATTGAAAATTTGGCGGGAGGTGATTCTCTTTATATTTTTCATACATTTAATATTGGCACCTTTTTCTTTCAAAAAACTATGAAAAATGACAAGGTTTTCATAAATTTTTCTAAAGATGGCTTTTCAAACTATAAACAAAATCATGAAAAGAAAAGAAGGGGTTTTCGGGCATAATTTTTAATGGCACAACATGGACAAAACCAGAGGATTCCGGATATCAAAAACAAGCGGAGCAAACATCCTTAACAACATATTTTCATCTAGAACAATCTTATACACATTTTGTTTTTGAAAATAAAATCAAAACTGCTTTTAAAGCTTCATTATCTGCAGTGTATGTGGTATGTTCTAGATGATAACATGTTTAATCGGTATTTTAGCAGGACGCATCCACAGAAAAGAACATTGTTGTGAGGATAAACGAAGCAGTGATAAAGATACTGGGAAGCAAAGAAATGAAACCGTTTTCGGCAGGTAATGTTATTATGTAAAGAGGATACTGTGTTAAGAGAAATACATTTTAGACAAAACACATCTATGTTAAAAACGCCTCCTTTGTGTTTGCGTTTTTTTTTTCTGAATATAGAACGTAGACGATAAAAAAAGAACATTTTCAGTTATTAATAGTATACACAATTGCTAAGCTGGCTTCCCTCTTGTGCTTAAAACTGCTATTATAATTTAATGCACTTTCAAATATATAAAACATATTGCTTTTAGAAAAAAAAATGAATTTCGTCTGTGATCTTGCAATTTATACTGCTCCTAACTCTTAATTTGAAAAAAAAAATATTTCCAAAAATTTGGCGGATAATGGATGTGAAGATATTAAAGTGACAAAAAGAGATTGCTAGAATAAGTGTAAGTGTTATTTTTATCAAAATTATTTTGATATGGGATTAAAATACAGTATTTACAGAACAGTTTTTACAGTACAAATTGTGAAGATTGATGCCGTTCAAACATTTTTGCTTTTAAACATTCAAGAAGTTCTACGTCCTAAGCATATATTTTTCTCTCATCTGTGCTGATCATAAATTTACGTGATCAATCTTATGTATGGCAAATTAAAAACAAAACAACATTAAAACTGCTATAGGCCCGCCCACCACTTTTGTCGAGAAAAATCTAAATTAAACCAACAAACCCTCTTTCGACATGATGTATTAAAATGTAAATTCTGTAATAATTTCATTATGATCCGACTTTATGTCTGAATGGCATATGCATACTTAAATGTGTTTGTAATTAAAAATTAAGGGTATGTCGGATGCATGGAATAGGAACAGTAACCAAACAACACAATGTAGCAAACAACATGTTAACAGTTTTGATATTGGCGACTGAAGATATATACAAAAATCAACAAAGGAATACAACTTTACATAATATGAACATGATGAACGATCCTAATACCCAGGTGTATATATTTAAAACACAAATCATCATTAAAGATATCAAGATATATTTATAGAGTGCCTAGAAAATCAACCTAACGATGTTAGAGTAGATCTGATTATTTACTTCCTCCCCGTGCGGGACTGGAACCTGCACTTTTCACTTCTCACTTCTAAGACAACACCGCCTATATAATTATATATATAGATATATATTCACATCCAAAATAATATCAATGGACTATATGACGATAAATTGAACAACAAGCGTGCATACATTACATTATTCAGCAAGAAATATAGTATAACAAATAACATTTATCTGAAATGATTTCATAGATCATTAGTTCTAACCTTTCTTCAAATCGGTCAGGAGCTCAGTTTGTGTCCAGTTCTCCATATACTGTTAGAAACGTTTCTGACATTTTCTTATCTTATATTCGACAACTTATATATATTAAAATTGGGTCCTCACGGCTCTTCAACTACATATTTGGTATGGCACTTTTAAATTTTTTTCACTCACGAGTCTATTTTTAGATAAAACGACCGTCTGGCGTACACAATATTAAGCCTTGTTTATCTATATATTTATTTATTTATTTATCTATTTATTTATTTATTTAGTTATTTATTTATTTATTTATTCATTCATTTATTTTTTTTTATCTATTTATTTATTTATTTATTTGCTTGTGTATTTTTCTATCTTTTGTTTCTGTCTTGTGTAAATAGTATCTATTGTACATCAAACAAAATTTTCTTGGATATCGCTGTTACTTTTCGTAATTAATTATTTAAAAGTATTGCACATATAAATGGAAATATTTTTTCAAAGGTTTTTAACTCTATAAAATGTTTTTTTTTTTTAGCGGAAGTCAACATTTACATAATGATGCTTAACAATATATGTATTATTATATAAGATTAAATATATTCAGGTTAATCTGGTATTTAACAATCCTTCCGAAAATTATGTAGCCATTCTGTAATCCAAACCTTAGTTAGATAAATACCCAAACAAAGTTCCTCTAACAGGCCAAAACGTCATATGATAATAAGCTTTTTAATGATAATTAGATATATATTAGAGTCAAATTTTCCAATGTGTTTAGGCTTTAACATTTACCAATACAAATATTTTCGATGAAAAGTTCATAATACACACGGATAAATAACAGAACTAAAACATACATCTTAGATTGTTATCATTTTACTATATTTTCTAGCTTTCTATCTAAGATATGACTAATATAGAAAATCCTGCTAATTGTCCATGTTCTTACCCACGACCAGATAGCTGCTCTAATTTACGTCATTTAAAACTGACAGTTCAAACGATAGGCTATATCTGATCATAACTGTATTTATAATCTTAACATGGTCCGCGGTGGCAGAGTTGTTTAAGTAGATGAACTACTATTATATCACTAGCGTGACAACACTGAGGTTGTTAGTTCGAATCCCCCACGTGGCAGGTGCGATCGACTCTAATCCTAATTAACAAGGATTGTCAGTTTGACCATCCGAAGATGGGTGGTTCTTTCCGGAAACTCGACCACTGACCACCACAAAATGACACAATTGGGCTGAATTTGACGTTAAACACTTATCAATCAATTTATCAATCAAAACCAAACACATTAAAAACATGTGTATTAATATCGTTTTTATATGATGATGATGATGATGATGATTATTATGATGATGTTGTTGCAGATGCTGAAAAAGAAGGGATACGGGATAAAGATATTTTCAAGCATCTGTTTATCTGGTCAGTTCTTATGAACCGAAAGGAGTTGGCGATGTTGTTTTGGAAAAAAGAAGACAAAGACTTTATATGTAAGTTAATAATGTTTCCCAAAGCTAAGATTTGGCTAGCCATTAAACCCATTATTTTTTCTTAAAATGTCCTGTACCAAGTCAGGAATATGGCAGTTGTTACCAAATAGTCCGTTTCTATGTATGTTGGCGTTTGTGTTTGTTGCAGTTCAGTGTTTCTGTTGTTTTTTGTTTTCTCTTAATCGATTTATGACTTTTGAACAGAGGTATACTACTGTTGCCTTTATTTATACGGTACGAGATTAATTTTTTACAAGAATTCGGCATGTATGTGGTAGTAACATCAACAAATAAGAAAGCTGTCGGCAAGTACAAATATAGGAATAGTTGAGGAATGTTTTTAACATTGAAATTTTTAAAAAATAAATGTATTTTATTTGGGCTTTTTTCTCATTCGACTGAAATTCTGGATTAATTCCTCGAGGTTTTAAACGTATATTCGTTTCGTCACGTATTTTATGATTTCACAGCTTTTATTATTGTTTATGTGTGAAAAAAATTGTTTCAATCCAACTCATTTTATCCTCCCATTCAGGTTCTGCACTATATGCAAGTTCCCTTGCAAAAAAGCTTGCTGAAAATGCCAGCGTGGAAGCATATACAGATCAACAGGCAGCTTTTTGGGAAAGCCATAGGTAAGAAAGAAGTAACTTAACGGTAAACTAGATAAAAAATACTTCAGTTGTGCTTACACAGAGATGTCGAGTCAACGAGAGAAAAACTCAAGACAATATTGTCTACCAATAGACATACAATAAAGTTATTCCAATTCAGGGAATAACTGATATCTACATTCCTGACGAAAGGGTATCTACATTTCACCCAAGTGAATTCCAATGTAAAACAAGGGATCAGACATTTGCGAAGGGATCATGATTTTGAGATAATGATAACTGTCAACGTATGTACTAGGTTTTGTATTTCTAATATTTTGGTCTCGACCATCACTAAAGAGACGTGTATTGTCGAAATGCGCTTCAGGTTCCATTTTATAACAGATTTTTTTTCTGCCTATCTGTAATTGGTTTCCATATGATAACCATATTCTTTTCCTGTTATAACAGTATAAATAAGGTTTCCGGCAATCACAAAAGAGAGGCGAAAGATACCAAAGGCACATTTGAACTCATAAGTCGAAAATAAACTGACAACGCCGTGGCTAAAAAAGAAAAAGACCAACAGATAATCAACAGTATACAAAACTGTATACAAAACACAGCATAGAAAACTAAAGACTGGACAACACGAACCCTTCCAAAAACAGGGGGAAATCAGGTGCTCTGGAAGGGTAAGCAGATCGGAACAAAATTTAACTCTCTTTGATAAATTTGTCCTCAGGAGTATAATACTAAGGACAGTGAAATTGTTCTTATTGCTAGGCACAGAAAAAAGAGACAAGACAATACCTAATACATGTACCCTACAAATTTGAGGACACTAAAATTCAAACTTTAAACCATACTCTAATTACACAATAGCAGTGTTTCAGTAATAATTTGTTGACAAACTTACATGTAACCTTTCAAAGATGTCAATATGAAGAGTTTTTTAAAGGACTTTCCTTTTTGAATTTACCTTGGAGTTCGGTATTTTTGTTATTTTAATTTTTAGAATATGTAAAAAAATGGTTCTCGACGTCAAACCTTGTCATTGATTTGGTGTTTTTTTTAAAGCTTCATTCAACATGTTTAAATGCTATCGTTTTACACGATTTTATTGATAAAGACTAGTTAAAATGAATATATATTATATGTTTTTTATAGTTTTCAATATGTGAAAATTACTCTTCCGATGCAAATATTTGCTAGCATAAGTTTGTTTTTATTCAGAGATACCATTATGCGCACATAATTTCGATTTGGCGATGGTATAGTCCGTTTCAATTAAGATAACTCGTTCTATACTTAACTGCTCAAAACTTTAACATATTTAAATTTTGATTTTGCACAATATCAATAACACTTTTTTACCAATACCTTGAGCTTATGTTAATTAGAGAGAAAAAATGTTACATCTGTAAGAAACAGTCAAAAGTAAAAATACCAAAAATACCGAGCTCGAAGGAAAATTCAAAACGGAAAGTCCTTTACCAAATGGCAAAACAAAAGCTCAAACACATCAAACGAATGAAAAGCAACTGTCATATTCCTTACTTTGTACAGGCATCTCCTTATGTAGAAAATGGTAGATTAAACCTGGTTTTATAGATAGCTAAACCTCTCACTTGTATGACAGTCGCATAGAGTTCCTTCATATTGACAACAATGTGTAAGCAAAACAAACATACTATGAACAACAAATTTATTTATTTTGCAAAAAATATCTCCGTACTCTGAACAACAACATTATTATATTTAAATTTACTTGTATACGTTTTTCTAAATAAAGCCATTTTGTCCAAGGTTATAGTTGTCTTTTTGTGTCACATTGTGTCATAAATCAAATTATTCGTTCAGCGTATGTTTACTTGTTTTTGTTAATATGTCTTTTTGATTGAGTTCAGCCATTTCAATTGATATTTTATAGTGTGTCTTTCTATGTTGTGATGTTACACTACTATTTCAGGTTAGGGTGAAGGTTGGCGCCTGTTAAAACGTTTAAACCCGCTGCATTTGTTTGCACCTGTCCTAAGTCAGGAACCTGTTTCAGTGGTTGTCGTTTGTTGATGTGGTTCATAAGTGTTTCTCGTTTTTTATTTAGATTAGACCGTTGGTTTTCCTGTTTGAATGGTCTTACACTAGTCATTTATGGGGACCTTTATAGCTTGTTGTTCGGTGTGAGCCAAGGCTCCGTGTTGAAGGTCGTACTTTAACCTATTGGTGTACCTTTACAAATTGTGACTTGGATGGAGAGTTGTCTCATTGGCACTCAAACCACATCTTCTTATATCTACTTTCTAAATAAAATATAAATACCAAAATCTATTCACTTTAAATATTTTGTAATGACTAAACACTAAATGAAATATTTATAAACCAATATGAAGTTTTGAGCTAATAAGGGGAGCTAACACCCTATTTTAGTTATATTAAACTGATGTTAACTTGTCAAATAACTAAATATAGATGTGAACCGTGTAGATATAATCATTTCCAATAATAATAACATTTAAGTATTAGTTTTAGCGGTGTTGATATATTGGCAAATTGGGAAATGAATATACATGTTAAAGCAAAATGTTGAGCCGAGTCAACAGTAATGAATACTTTTCAAGCGAAAAGTTTTTAATCTGGCAATACCATTATTCAAAAACAAATACGACAAGAATATACATGACAATTGTCACATATCCATTTGTTAGGTCTACCCTTCCATTCTAGAATAATTATTAAGTTTTTCTTTTGTATAAAGCTCTAAAAGCGTCATACTATATTATAAAATGCTCTCTAATGTTCATGTAGGTTTCGTAACGGTATGTTTTTTAGATATTATGAAGACCTTGCCTACAGTGTGATGACAGAAATGTATTTTGAGGATAAAACTCAAGCTCGGCAACTTTTGGTTACAGAAGTGGAAAGCTATAATTTTACAACAATTTTTGAAATAACTGAAAATTCTACACTTATGAAGTTTATGGGACATGCTGCCTGTCAAACGCAGATGAATAAAATTTGGAAAGGTTGTATTTTAAGTGACACTTCAAATCTTAAGGTAAGAACATTAAAAGAAATAGCAACTAAACAGAACAACATATCTGTGTATCAGTCTGTCTATCTGTCGGTCCATCTATTCATTTATCCTTACATCCAGCTATCTATCTATACCTTTTCCTCTATCTTTATCTATATTTTTATCTATGTATATATGTTTTTCATAATTACGGAACTATCGTTCAAGTGAAAATATTTCGTCTTTTCTCAATCGTCCTTCCATATTTTAAACACATTATGAAGAAATGACCACTTATCTTTTTATAGTTCTATATAGATTTAATTGTCGATTTGTATCTTCATTCTTTCGACAATGCTAATACTTTAGGGAGTTCAATTTCCATTCTGAATGTCAAGAGACATTATCTCTCGCAATTGCCTCTGTCGGTCTAGTTCATATTTTATCGATTCCACTTGCAATTTTCTAGTAAGTATCATAGGCGTCGAATTCGTTAATTTTCATGTAGTTCGGCCTTGTAACTGTTCTCAATCATATTTCATATATATATATATATATATATGTATACGTCTTAAAGGTGTTCAACAACAACACAATACAAAAAAAGAAACGTTAAATAAATACATAATATATCAGTAAATAGTTCCAATACAAAACTTATTCGGTAGTATTGACGATGTAACATATCATCTTAATCCATGCTGGTTTCATAAATCTTTATCATGATATCAATTAGAATCCAAACAACGCTTATAAAAAAGTAAGACTTGTATTATTCTGAAATTTGAAAGTTCATGCAAATTAAATTTTAACAATAGACAGGACCATGTATGTTTACATCCCCATTACAACAACATATCCAGTTGGTGCGGCTAGGACTACACCTTTCAGTTGATACAATCTTTTACATCATTCCCGCGTGATTATCTCCTTTTCTCGACCATGCTGTGTTTTGGTCAATGATGGTGAAAGTTATTTGATTGAGATCTGCTTAAGCGTGGTCAGGAGATCTTAAATTTTGACGGAGAGGAAGGTCTGACTTGCAGTCATAGTCACTACGACGGTTATTCATTCATTTGTAAAATGGCTGTTTTGACTCGCCAACATACTAAATTTACATTGTAATAGATACAGTGTACATAGCATTTGTAGTCTTATAAGTAGCGCGCAGAATTTAGTTTGTTTCATGCCAGTGAAAAAAAAATGAAAACAACACGTTATAAATCCCATGCGTCCGAAGCGCTTTTCTGGATTTACCTTCTTCAGGAACGCTCAATGCCAAATATTTGAAAGCCAAGTATGTCTAAGAACCGAAACAGTTGAAATGACTGTTGAAAGTTCTGACATTTTTTATACTACAACCTTTACAAGAGCCTGCTGACGAAGAGCATAGCAAAGAGGACGAATCAGGCCTTACACGCAAGTCGCTTAGGTTGTGGGACAACGGAAAGCAAGTGCAGTGTTTTAGTTTTACGGATTAAGGTCTCGATAGGCAATATGGGAGATTTGTATGCAACAATTATTTTAAAACCTACCACATTTTGTCCCTGTACCAAGTAGGCTTATGTGTTGTGTTCGTCATTTATGCAGGCTATTTAGCGTTTATGATTCGAGCGTTACTAATGAGTCTTTTGTAGATGAAACGCGCGTCTTGTGTACAACATTCCAAGCCTGTTATCTATAATGAAGTGAATTTTTTTTCGTGGTTGTTAGTATTTTATGGGTGTATGCCTTTTTTGTTTAGGAGTCGGGCGCTGCTAGTTGATGTGGTATGTTGTACTATGATTTATTTAGACAACTCCTGTTATTAGATTAGACATGCTATTATTTCGAAGATAACAATGATCATGACCATACTTCGTTATGTTTGTCAAAGTTAATTTATCAAGTCAAAGACTACATATTTCAAGCTAATTTTTGTTTTGCCATTCATTTAATTGTTAAAATATATTGGGCAAACAATGCAATTTCCCTAATAATTATTAATTATGATGTATCATTCTCTCAGAGATCTGACCATCCAAAACTGTTTAGACTGGACAGTCCAGTTATATTATACTGCACTGCAGTAAGTGATTTAGTTGTGTCTTCTCACATTTGTGTGAGTCATACATAACAATTATGTTTTACAGAATAGACATTTAAAGGATTATCTCATGGTTCCAGCATTGAATTAATGGAAGCCTGTTCAGCTGAAGAATTTAAAAAAAAAACATTTTTTTGAATGCCGTCAAAGATTGATAAGAGACAAGCACATGAGCGAATTGATAATATATGTTATACGCAAGAATATAAATACCAGCAGGTCATAATGTATACATATTGGGGAAATGTGCATCTCATCGTTTATAAAGTCAGTTGATACAGTCGTGCATTAAACTGCATACAAGTATATAATGTGTATGTATTACATAAATCAAATATCAAGAATTTTCTCGTTTGTGACATGTGTAAAAACTACGTTTTACATGCCGTAAACCTATGATTGTATACGTATGATTTTCATGCTCGGGGTACATTTTTTGAGGTTTAGATATATGTTCTACTTGTTACAATTTGACTAGTGCATGATTAATCATCTTTCATTTCCTTTTGGTTCGTCTTAGACAATCTGTATTTTGAATTGCATCACCTTTAAGATATATTTCATCTTGTATTTTCACAGGCGATTACTGCTGCATTTATCCCAATTCTAATATTGAATATAGTGAATATAGAAGATGGTCAACATGGTAAATCGGACGTGTCGAAAACACCAGAACAGGAAAACAATTCTAATGGGACTTCTCCACAAACTCCAATTGAATGGGGGAAATTGATGAGAAAACTATATTACTTTTACAACTCCCCTTTGGTGAAATTTTTTTTCTTCGTTGTAAGTTTAATAAAAAGTAATTGCCTTTAGTGATATACTTACACAACAAATGTAGACGATCAGCATGATCATATTAACATAAAAAAAAGGAATATAAGTTAGAGGTATAGTTCAATTGGAAAGTTTCCCCAACAAGACAAAATCAAAATGCATCTCGAAGTCCATAAACCTATGCAATGTGTGTAGCTCTTAATCACCTCGAGACATGTATGTAAAATTGGGAAAATAAAAATTCTTATCAAAGATACCAGGCTTAAAATTTTAGTACGCCAGATTGGCGTTTTGTTTGAATAAGAATCATCCCCCAGTGGCTCTCTCATGTCAAATCAATTACGAAGTTAAAGTGCATAAAACACCGAAAAAATCAATCGTACTCATGTAAAAAGTCCTGGAGCTGAATTGACATCCGTTTTGATAAATTAAAACATATAGCAATGTACAATTTGATATAAATCAAGCTTAACATGTAAAAAGCCGCTCTGCCAAAACCCCATTTTGCAAGAAGAAACAAAAGGTTAAACCCGTTAATTGTCACGTTAAATTCCACGTTAATCTGAAAACGGCGTGATTTTTAATTTTGTTTAACTCGCTGTAGTAATTGTTCCCTGAACTCTGTTTATCATAGTAGCCTGGATACACGATTTTTCAATCCCATGACCGATAAAGGTCATATTGCTGTTAATAGATTAAGCGATTATGTGAATGTATGTATGGTATTATTGTGATAATTTTATTTTAAAAGAAACAAAATACATATGTATTGTAAAAATATCATTCACCTGATTAAACTGTTTAATTCTTTAAACATACATTGCACCCTTACGCTTTGTAAACTGTAGACAAAACAACTTTATTTTATACTTGGTCTGCATTTGACTTATGTGGTCATAATTGTGATTGAGATTTCATGGGGAAGAAACTATAATAAATCACATATGCTCTCGAAAAGCGGGTCAAAAATTATATGTATACACCTACTAATAAATGCTACATGATTCTTTTAACGCAGAAAACTTGTATAAAAATTAATATGGTGTTTTTTCATGAAGGTTTCATGAACTGTGACCTGAATGTTGAGGTCTATGTTATTTTGGTCTCATGTATACCATATCTTTTATAATGAAACTTACGTGCACTTGATGCAAGAATCGAACTCCTATATTAATACATCAATAAAATTTAAACATCACGAAAATAAATCGCCGCGAAGTCAAATAGAAACGGCTAATCGCGAATTAAAGTATCCGCAAAAAATAGATTTAAAGTAATACGTTTTCATAAATCATCACTGATAGGTAGATCAACATTCAAATAATGATTTTATATCATTCAAAATTATTCATGTCTTTTTTATAAATAGGTTTCATATATGGCAATGCTAGTGATATTCAGCATATTCGTATTGACAGATTTATATCCAATGTCTGAGAAATACCCGTCTGTTAAGGAGTGGATTGTTTATGTGTGGGCAGCATCGACATTGACAGAGGAAATAAGACAGGTGATATGAAGACGGCGTCCTAAGTAGCCAGTTACAAAATCAATGAAATGATAATTCAATATAAAAAAATCTTATAATTTCACGCAAATTTGTTTATCTGACTACTGAAAAGAAAAATGACTATAATATAAGGATGAATATTTTGAAGCATTCTGTTGGTGAAAGTATAAAATGAGTCTATTGGTTATTGAACATAAGAACTTATCACCTCATTAATTAGACTGTTTTTTTTTTTCTTTTTTTGTATCGTCAATTTCATGCCAATGATACACGAAGATTGATAATAGGCCGGCTTGGTATCTTCATCGTTGTAAGCAGAGATACTTTGGGTCTGGACAATAAATTTGTTGCCCTCCGATAGGTTTTGTATTATGCTTTTAGAAAATAACAAATATAAATGGTGTCCGCGAACATGTTTTCTTGTTACAAGTAAAAATGTTTTTCGTGTATATAAATTCTTTTAGGATTAGAGTTATCTCCACTTATCATGCCTATATGGCTAAGTTAAAAAATTGACGCGAACAAAAGCAAATGTTGGGTAATTGTAAAAAAAAAACCAAATAAATTACATTTTTCATTGTCTAAATTACATTCCTACACATTACTGTAATGGGGGTCTGTAATTGCCATTCTGTCTCATAATTTGCAAAGTTAAGTTATAACAACACCAATTGTTTACTGATATTTTACAATTCAAAATGGTGATATACAGTTAATCTATCTTAATTTCGCAAGAAATTAATACTTAGATAGCTATTTATACGGACATCGTCCTCTTTTACAGGAAACACTTGTCTCATTTTCGTCTAATTAAAACATCAATTGTTCAGAGAACGAGTAAGGTCTTGCCATCATTGAATGTTCATTAGTTGGTTAGAAAATATTAGTAAAGAATAGTTATTTTTAATCTATAAATGCACTCACGATATCAGAAGATAGTTTTTCCACATTTATTCAAACAATAATTTGGTGAGTAGTACTTTTCCGTTAATTAATAGAAATAACGACTTCCGGTTTCCCCAAAATCACTTTAATATCAAATGATACCTTTCTTAACACTTGATTTCAAAACTACAAGGTTTTGATATATTTTTGACTGAAATAAGGAGGATATTTGGTATATTTATGGGCTCCGTATTCTTTGCTTTCTCTTGGACTTGCAATCTCGTGTAAGCTCTTCTCCTGGTCTATGCATTCTTTTGCACCCATCGTCCGTAAACTAACATATTTCCATCTTCTTCTCTGAATCTTTTTGAACCATTTGTACTGGACAGCATTTCTAATAATATGAAAAATACCAGAGGTTATTTCATTGTCAATATAGGGCACTGTTAGACCTTTAACAATATGCATAACCCGTAGTTAGCTGTAAAAACAGTCATGAAAGTTTGAATCACTGGTGTTGACTTGCGTGCGACAGGGAATTTAGTTGTATCGTCTGCTCTTTGTATGTTTGTTTAGGGCGACCTTTTGATTATTTTGGTGGTGTCCTTAGGATTTTTTCTCGTTAGGAATATTAACTCTACCCCTGTTTTCTGATAGTTCCAATTGGCCAACCACTTGGCCTCCAGCTCGGCTGTTCATTTGTTCTTTTGTCCGTTTGTTCATTCGTTTTTTTCTTACCAAAGCATGTAATTTGCCATTGCTGTATGGGGGAGGTACCCATCTTATATCCTGTACTCCTAGACCTTTTTATAACAATTTATTGAAACCTTCTAAACATCGTTTTTGCAAAAGGGCGGGATATCATTTTGTGAGCATTGCTCAGGGTACTTCTAGTGTCCACTTGCAAGGTCAACTTATATATTTCATTTTTGTACACAATTCTTTTCTGCATTTTGATGTGGCAGAATATTCATCTATATCTTGTCTTTGGCAAGATTTTTTTCTCTTTTTACAAGGTCAGGCTATCTATCATGTCTATCTAAAACATCCTCCTAAATTTCGAGAATTTTCTAAGCAATGTTTGGTTAAACTCTTTTCTGGACAGTTTAGTCTCTCTTTTTACTCGATTGGATTCTTGCTACATTTTGGCTTTTATTTCGATCTATTTATTAATGGCCTGTTTAAGGATAAGGGCTTTTTTTAGTTAAGGCATTTTTTTTTCTATTGGCAGCTTTCGCTTTGGTATGCTTCCTCCTTGCCAGGCTGGACATATTAAACTCGGCCTGTATTAGGGTAAGACAATAATCGTGGTGCTTGGTTTGACACCCTGTGTACATGGCCATGTTCTTTTTTCGAAATTGTAAATACTCATGTGTAAGATACGATAACTTGTATAGGACTACTTTTTCCGAACCGTAAGCAGAAAATGGAGGTCGTTAGGATGCGTCTCTACTTCAAGTAACTGGGCTATTTATTATGTATCGATGTATCTTGCTTCTGAAAGAAATTATCATGTTCTCAGTGTGGGCTTCTTTTGGTTCGTTCACAAATTCGCCAGGTCTTATACAAGTGATACGTGTTGACTTGAAGGCCATCTATTTTTTTCAGTTCCTCCTCTCATACCTGGGAATCGTCTTTGTGTTTCGTATCTATGCTGTTGATCAACTAACCGCTTACTGATAGTTCGACGAAAGGTTTATTGATGCCAATTATGGTTCCATATCGTGGTTGTGATGTCATGGACACACAAACTAGGTTATGTAGTGCCAAGGTAACAACTTCAATCAATGCTTCGTCATACTTCATGGTGATAGTGCAAGTAAACAGATTGTCGTAAATAAACTGTAAGCTTAGAAGATGCATATTCTTGCACGGCACATCAAACAGGTTTTAAGATTTTAACTGCCTAATATAGGTAAAATCTGTAGGGCACAACAGGCACTTTGAAATTACTGGGTCGACTCAGAAAATGTATTCAGAGATAAGTCGTATGAAGAAAAAACAACCAGGTGCTGCTTTTAATTTGAACACCTATACAAAATCGAAATCAATTGAAGAAGAAGAAAAAATAACAATTTTACAATGTGTAAAATAAATGTCAGTTCAAACGCGATGTCTAATCCATGTCCAGTGCATGTCCATGTAAAGACAAAATTGTCGACATCGCAATAATAACAATATTAACACGATAGCGTGTTAACGTTGTTTACATTGTAAGAACTCCTATACACTACTTACATCGTTGACATCGTTAACATCGTGATGTATACAATGTATTATCAGTATCGTGTTAACATCATTTACATTGAAGTGTGCAAAATTTACACTGGATATGACTTTACAAAAAACAAAACTATACAAAAAACAATAATCGCAACGTTTTTTGTCAAATCAGAAATAAATTTGACTAAGAAATAAAAAACAAATAGACTTAAAAAATAAAGTTTGATATTAAATGTTAGTCTCTAAAACGCTGCGAGTTGTAAATAGATATAAAAGAGACCAAAACAGCAATAATCCTTACAAATGACAAAATTCAGTTGTCATATGATAAGATATAGTCTTGGTACACAATGTAAACACGATGTTTTAACGATATTGTTAACATCGCGATTTTGAAGAGGTAAACGATTTAAACACAAAGCTAAAGAATCAGTATACATTATGAACACGATTTCAACACGATATTGTCAACATTTCAATGAAAGAAGTAAACACACATATATAGTCTTGGTAAACAATATAAATAAGATGTCGAAACGAAATTGGTCAACATAGCAATGTTTACAATGTAAACGATGTAAACACGATGTAAACACATGTAAAGACTCGGTATACAAAATTAACACGAGTCGACACGATATCTCTAATTGCGATGCTGACGATGAAAACTATATAAAAACAAAACTAAAGACCCAGTTTACATTATAAACACGGATATTGACATGATGAAAAATTTAATCACAAAGTCTCGGTATACAATATAATCACGATTTTGACACGATATTCTCAACTTCGCGATGTTGACGATGTGAACGATGTAAACATAAAGGTATTGAATCGGTACACAATATAAACGATGCTTACACGATATTGTCAACATCGCGATGTTTTCGATTTGAATGATGTAAACATTAAGGTATAGACTTGATATACAATATAAACGATGTTTACACGCTAGTGTCAACATCGCGATATCTACTATGTGAACGATGTAAACACAATGGTATAGACTTAATATACAATATAAACATGATGTTCACTCGCTTTTGTCAACATTGCAAGTTCTACTATGTAAACAATGTAAACACAAGGTAGAGATACAATACAATGTTAACTCAACAATAACACAATACAGTAGACATCGTAATAATGACAATATCGATAAAATATCTTGCACTGAACTTATTTCTAATGTCTGATACAAACAAGGACGAAAAATAACAATCAAGAATGACTTGATAAAATCAGTGATGAAAATGAAATTCGAACATGAATAAAGTTTCGACTGTGTTTATAGCGTTAAATACAATGTATTACCGTGATTGCATACTAGAATAAAACCCGATACTTTCACATGTAGAATAAATGGGATAGTTTTTCTAATTTGACGTCAAATAGCAATGAGTGTTGTTGGGACATTGTCGATGACGTTACGTCAACAAGAATTAAGAATGCGTAGAGTTCAACATATATTGTGCATCTCCTATAATTCACCAAAATTTTGATATTATACCTATATTTTCAGGCTGTTGTTATCAAGCAATTGTCATTGAATACAATGACCTGGTTTACATTTTGGACACTCTATGAAATTTTGATGTACTGTCTATTCATTACATCTGTATTTATGCGATTGACCTTGAAAGCCGAGGATTTCTATCATGCTCGAATGATGTATTCACTAACATTAGGGATATTTATTATCAACAGCATGCAATTTTTTCTTGTTTCTAAACATATTGGAACAAAAGTCATCATGATTGGAAGAATGGTGAGTTTATATAATTATGTCTCCGTCAGTACACAATAATAACTGTAATCCCCGATGCATATTGACATTATTATACAATTCTGCAGTAAGTCTGCTTAAAACACATGTAACAAGAGTTACAGTTTTTCTTCTAACACAATTGTGTGAACCAAACAGGGAATTTAAATGAAAGCGTATCAAAAAGGCATTTTGTTTCACTGTGAGACCATTGAAAATGTCATGTCTTGTATGTAGGAAACTATAACAAGTTCATCTCTATTCATTTTAAACCCCACAAAACTTGCAGCTACAGCATGGCTATGTTTTGCTTCATATTTAATCATAAAGACATGTAATAAATGTTCTTTAATTGAAAATATCTATTTAATTAGTCCTTTTAAATGATTATGTACAACTGTAATTGTTTTAGAATTAATATTTGTACAGTCGTTTTGTACTAATTAATCATAATTTAACATCACTGTTCTTTTAACCAGGTTATACAAATTTATCTTCAATAACTCACGAACTTGGTGTTTTCGTTGCAAATGTTTATACTGCAACCTAATACGAAACACTGGCCCTTTTGATCTGCAGTTCCAAGGGATGACCCTAGGTTGTCCTAGTTTCTTATAAAATTTTGTTCTAGCTCATATCAGATTCTTCTTTCCTGCAATATCTTGTAATGTCCTTGTAGGTTGCATTTTATAAATACAGCTGTTTCACAAACCACGCCTCTTTTAGGGGGGTATATAATATTCATAGATATATTGTTTTGTTTACGTACTGGTTCCCAGATATGATCTCTATGTTTCATCTCATAGAGACATAACTTGACTTAGGAATATTGCCGGTATAAATACACATGGATAGCGGCGATATTGAATTCTGAGGAAATCTCAAAGTGAAGGGAGGATAGTACAGAGTTTTAGTATAAGTTTAAACTCTAAGAAGTTACGGGCATATACATGTTGAAAATATGCCGCACAATCCTATGTTTAGACCTTTGAATGAAATAGTAGTGCATATCAAATTCCCATTCTAGGATATATTTTTTAACGAAACTTCATTGTAAAAGTGATACAGTTTTAGCCGCAACAGGAGTTTTTATGAGAAATTGCATTGTCTATATTTTCAGAAGTGCAACCTAAAAATAAATTATATCAGTGTGATGTTAATGGCTAAAGCATTTGGTCATGCAAAAAAAATATAGAGAATGGAAGCGGGGATTTGTCAAAGACAACAAGCCGACATAGGCTATCAATGTGTCTCACACGGAGCGAGAAAATCCGGCACCCGGAGGCTGACTACAGCTGGCTCAAAAACAATAATGTATATTAGTTCAGCAAAAGGGACGCCACACTTAACTCAGAAACAAACAAATGAACCATAACTAAACACGCAGGATTAGCAAATGCTAGAGATACATGACTTGGGACATCCGCAAAGCTGCGGTGGTGTTAAACATGTTTTGTGAGATCTCAACCCTCCCCTATACGTCTAGTCAATGTAGAATAAACACACAGCAAAACACACATTAAAACTCAGTTCAAAAGAAGTCAGAGTCCGATGTTAGAATAAGTAAAAGAAGAAACTAAGCAAAATGACACATAAATACTTAGAATTAGACATTGACTAAAAATTTTCAGGTTAAAAAACGGTAAACTCAAATAACAAAAAAACATTCTAGTTTAAAAATTATGAATCGTAAATCAAGCTAGTGTTAGATGAAACCAGAAGCTAAACATTTTCTATGGCTCTAATCCATTGTCACTTGACTATTCTTGTTCTTCGTACGTGGTATATCAGAGTATCACTGACTCTAAATCACAACTTCAAGTTGACAAAAAAAAATACAAAAACATAAGATTCATAAAAAATCTTGGTCCAAGGTCTAATGTCCGCAAACCTGAAACATAAAGTGTAAGTTTTTTAAACATTAAACATTGTAAGATAATCGTGATCACATAATCTGTAGTTTGATCAGATTGCAGAAGTCCGTGATGGTTTAATTGCGTTGATGGATTAGTTACTCATAATTGTATATACCCTACATCTCATTTTTTTATCATATTTTTTAAATATACTTGTACATTTTGTTTTTTCTTTCGTTTCAGATGTTTGATATTTTTTTCTTTATCTTGATCTTTGCCGTGTTCGTGTTTGGATTTGGTATAATTTACCAAGCAACAATGTACCCCAATTCCATTCTAGGATATCACCTTTTTAAGGAAATCATATACATGCCATATTGGCAATTGTATGGAGAATTGTTCTTAGAGAATTTTGAAGGTAACTTGGATTTAGAGTCGTAACTATTAAACAATGACATCATTTAGTGAAGTAATTTTATTGTAGGAGAAAAGGATCTATTAATAAGCTTTTTTACTTTGAACTAGATTGCAATAATTGTAGGTTCAATTATATCGATACTGTGTGTCTTTTGTTTCTATGCTTGCTGTTTTAGTGTTCCGTACCGATCTGATTAGTTTGAACCTGGCTTTACGGTATGGATTTTGCTCAGTGTTGAAGGTCTTACGGAGACCTTTAGTTGCTTAAATTCTCATTATTTGGACTTTGTCTTTGGCAATCATACGAATTCTTCCTATTTTATATCAGTCGTTCACATCATTTCTTTACACAATTCTTAATACCTCACTGCCGTAATGTGATACGTTACAAGTAAATCAACACTACTATTCGAGACATAGTGACCTATCACTAATAAATGAATATTATTCTGAAACAGTTATTTTGATCTAAACAGGATCTGAAAAGCCGGAACAAAAATTATTCATTCATGTTTAACTTTTTAGTCTATTTTCAGACTTATCTACTGCGGTAAATTTAGTGATGATCAGATATTTTGCTTGCAGTCAATTCAGTACTTTTCTGTAGCATTTCAGACAAATCAGTATGATGTTATGGTGGACAGTTAAATAGCAGCTACTGAACTGTCTGAACATAGTCTGAACAGATCTTAATTGACTGCAAGCTGTCTGAACAGTACTGAATTTACCACAGTGGATAAGTCCAAAAGTTAACTGAAAAACTGAAGATTGCGTTATAATTTATTGTGCAGTCTTTTAAGTGCTGTTCGGATCATAAACCGTTTCAGACTAAAATTTGTTAACTAGTGTATTCAAAAGACCGTAGACCAAAAAATCTGAATTTTGGTTATACCAATACCTAGCTATAGAACATCTGTATGTTTGTAGTTTTTAAATATTGAATTACAAATTAGTCAAAAGAAATACAGAAATACATGACAAACAAACGGTTTATGACGTCTTGACACTAATACCGGCAGATGTTACGGATTGATACTTAAGTCTGGGAGAACATAATTTATTTATTAAGTATTAACTTGACGTCGTTATTAACAAACTCTTAGATCGGTGCTTTGTGTTTTTTGTCTTTATGCTAGTTTTTTTTGTGTGCTTCATATCAATCGCATAATTCAAGCAATAATAAACTGATGTTTATAAGTTTATTTTACGTTTAGCAGTAACACCACTTTCCCAGGTTATATTAGGATAGAGTTGAATATTCATGATATAAACATAAGAAGATGTGGTATGATTGCCAATGAGACAACTCTCCACAAGAGACCAACTGACACAGAAATTAACAACTATAGGTGACTTTTAGGCCTTCAACAATGAGCAAAGCCCATACCACATAGTCAGCTATGAAAGGCCCCGAAATGACAAATGTAAAACTAAAACATGTAAAAGCTTGCACAAAACTGCCACAATATGATAAAAAGGTGCCTGTCCCAATTTGGGAGCCTGTAATTCAATGTTTGTATTTGTTTGTTGTCTGTCTTTTTGTTCATTGTCATCAACCAGACTGGTTATTTATCTACATTGTTTCTCATTAAGTCATTCCGTCTAACATTTTAACGACACTATCACAAGTTAATTGACCGATACAGAATATCTGTTTCATAGATGAAAATAGCATTGTGCCAATTTGCCTTTAAACGCAATCATTTCCTCTTTTCATCGAATGTCACGTACATCTACCGAATTAGACTTATCACTAATTTGTACTTATATTAGCAACTATACGGAAGAACATGTAGAGCAGCATCTTCTTACCAATCAGGAGCCACACCTTGGATTACACCCAGCTTTTGATTGGGCTTGTTTTGTTTAGACTTAAGTTTTCTATGTAATTTGTCATCAGGTCCCTTTTGTTTTTATCATGGCATTGTTACTTTGATTTCGACGTATCAGTTTGATCACCCTTTTGGTTTTTATCGCCTCTTTTTGACATGGATAGGTCTTTTATAATTGACTATATGTATACGGTATGGTTTTTGTGTATTGTTAAAGGCCGTACGATGACCTATAATGACTTAAATCCACGTCATTTGGACTAGTTGTCTAATTGGCAAACATTTACCATTTCCCTGTTTAATATTGATATGTTAGTGTCCAAAGACATCTTTCTAAATACTAATTTACCCGTATTCAATATTCAAACAACTTCAAATTCGCTTCTCAAAGTAAACGTGCAGAAAGTGTCAAATTTACAACCTCTTTTTACGATTATGATGTTTGTCTAATATAACGGACATTTTCCCGGTTTTTAACCTATATCTCATTTAACTCAAACCTGGCTGTAATGTTGGGCAATACATTTGGTTTCCCTTAAAAAGAACCAAGTTAATCGTATTTCTAGTAATGAATTGGAGTTTTTCGTGTCATTTTTTCAGATGTAACCTAGTTCGATCGTGTTCATTGAGACATTGATTATCCAAATGCGCATCTGATGCATAAACATTGATATCGTTGATGTTATTATCTTTAGCTGTCTTTTTTCAAAATTAAATCGTATTTGGGAATCTTCTTTGATATGTCAGCTTTTACACACTAAGGTTTGTAGAGCTGGATGTATAATGTCTTTGTTCAATTTTCGACATCTGAAATAACATTCTGAGAGGAAACAATTTAGGTTTTCTAAAATAAAAGATATTTCTGTCGATGAAAAAAATCGGTAAGATCTCAACTGTCAAAAAGGTTTTTTGAATTAGTTTTGGAAATATGCATGTTCGAATCAGATTGATGGATTCTGTGTTGCTTAACGTCCAGTTGCAAACATTTCATGCATAGTTAGGACGATTTTAGAATCAGCGGATTCGCTTGTATGTTTCCTATATTGCTTTTTAATATATATATATATGAGTTTTAAATGATATCTATCAATAAAGATACTAAGCAAAACAATAGAACTCGCATTACTACATCTTTTATTTATTTAGAAAAAGATCCATCTACGTGAACGAATAATGTAACATTACAACGTGATGAAACTATTACTCGATGTCCAGAAGTAAATCAGATAAATACTGTGCTATTGGCTGTTTACATGGTGGTAACACACATTATTCTTGTCAATCTTCTCATTGCGATGTTTACGTAAGTATATATATATATATATATATATATATTTAACCATGAAGCGTGTCTTTGCTAGTAAATAAAACGAAGCGTTTGTAATTGAATTCTCACAACCAAGAAATTATTATCTTAAATTAAGACAGTCTGCATGGGATCTTGTTTATGAGTCGATCAATACAGTTTCACCAATTCAATTAATTTGATTACGATATATATATATATATATATATATGACACTGTTATCGGTTTGTCAGTATTCCTGGTTTTGACTTTAATTCTAGATTTGGTTTGAATCATATTGAAGGTGGTTCAAGTATAGACGGGATGCTTGGGTGTCAATGTGTGGTTCCTGTTAAACATGGTGTAGTGTTGTTGCTTACATCTTTGTCCATTGGTCTTTTTGTGAAAATTCAATTCATTGGCAAACATACCACATTTGTTTTCTTATGTTTTTTATCAGCAGAATAATTTGGTAATGTCCCCCAGCTAATTCCGGATATTAACTACCAAATTGTATTCCACAGCTTATTGATCTACTTACAGAGGCTTCATTGAACTTATTCCACATTTTCAGATGGCAAATGAGTTTGTGTTTACCAATTCGAATATTCCCCGAGGAGAAATTTGACCGATTACAATACATCTATACAATAAACTGTAGTCATTTATGCACAGTTTAATTTGTTTTGTGAGACCAAATTATAATCAAATGTATTCAATATCCATCCACATGTTTCCTTCTACAATTTTGTAGTTACATGCGCTATGATTTCGACCTTTTGAATTTTCGTACATTTTTATTTTGTAGCAATTTAACAACTTTTTAGTTTATTCAAATATAGATCAGTATATGTTTAAAAACTTTCATACAAAGTACATGCATCTATAAATACTTGACTGAATTGCTTGAGGAGGGACTGAATTGCTGTGTATTTGACTACCAGCAAATTGTCTCAACACTTCTCAGTTTAAGGTGCCCTTTTCGCATATTTCTTTTCATTCCTGGAATTCTTACTTGAAATACGAACAAATAAAAAAAAAGACTACGGTTTTCTTATGTGTATGTCTTGACAATAATAAATGATCATCACTAAGAGTAATTGACATATTTTACAAATCTATTATTGTCATATTGATGTTATCATTATGTGCGAAAAGAAAATTTACAATCATATAATTATTTTGTAATCCGTAGGAAATTTGTGCATTCAAACATTTGTCAGGTTTTTATCTTTTATTTAATTCTTTGTTCAACTATAAAGGGTTGGTAACTTTTTAATGCTTTTTGGCGTTGAAAATGTTTTAATTATTTCATTTGGGATATGTCGGAATAAAGAGACGGAAAATAACACTGGAATCAACAATCTAAAGACAAAAAGACACCTACAAAACCATGACAAAAAACGAAAACGACGAAAAGAAAAGTGTTGAGATCTCATAAAACATGTTTAACCCCGCGGAAATTTTGCGCCTGTCCCAAGTCAGAAACCTGAGGCGTTTATTAGTCTTGTATGTTGTTTTTTTTTAATCTTGGTTTATTTATATTTTCTGAGTTAAGTGCGACGTCCATTTTCGTTGAACAAGTAAACATTATTGTTTAGGAACCAGCGGAAGCCCGCCTCCGACTGCGGTATTTTCTCGCTGTGTTGAAATCCCATTGGTGGCCTAGGGCTGTTTTCTGCTCTTTTGTCGTGTTGTTGTCTCTTTAACGCATTCTTTGTTTCCATTCCCAATTTTATCTATAAAATACTACATAGAAAAAATAAAGACTGTGCAACATAAACCGCGGGCTATATATGTGCTCTGGTAGGGATAGCTTATCCTACTTAGCATTTGACACTCGCAGAGTCGCGTTCTGTAATTTCACAATTGCTTGAAAGAAGATGGAAGTTTGAAAACGATTATTTGAACATATCTGTTGTTGTCTATGATACGGTCAACCAAATGTTAATGACGTCCGTAGAACACAAAGTAAATCTGTCAAAGGGATGTAGTCAATTTTGCCACCAGGAACCCTTTGTTTTATAGCTCCCTCAATTAAGGGCAACCTTAGAACAAACATTTCATGATAGGAAACGCGAGCTCAGGAATAATGTATCAACTTGTAGATTAAACTCCATAAACTCCATATGCAGATATTTCTTCAATGTTCCAACATACAAATGAAAATCTGAAATAATATATCTTGTTGTTAAGTTTGACAGATTGACGATATTACAAATAAATCATAAAAAGTCTTGCGGCTAATAGAATGATAATATAACAATATGGCCTTATCTAACACTAGGCATACATTTACAAAAGTTCAAGACAACAACGAGTTGGTTTGGAAATTCCACAGATTTTCCCTTATCCGGGAGTACTATGATAGATCGTCATTGGTACCACCGTTTATTATCATCAGTCACATCAAAAGGGCTTTTGTGTCTGTCGTTCCTAACTGTGTAGAAAGAAAAAAGAACAAGTTCAGTAAGTATTTTCATACAATATTAATGAATGGACTTTGGGATAACAGGTCGATGACCAACGAAACAAAATAACCACAGAATACATACAGGCACACGTATACCAATTTTGATCTGAAACGGTCATTTGAATGAACAGCTCTTAAAAGACTGAACAATAAATCATTAAGTCATTTACAGTCATTCTGTTAATTTTCAGACGTATCCACCGCGGTAAGTTCCGTACTTTTCAGACAATTCGCTTGCAGTCAATTAAGATCTGTTTAGTCTATGTATAGACAATTCAGTAATTGTTACTTACCTGTACATTCCAACATCATACTGATTTGTCTTGAATACTACTGAACAGTACGGAATTGGCTGTTATCGATCGTCTGAACAGTACTGAATTGACTGCTAGCAATTTATCGTAACAGTACTGAATTACCCGCAGTAGATAAGTTCGAACATTGACTTAAAGGTTCAACATGACTGAACAATTTGCAGATGATGTTAAGATCAAAATGACCGTTTCAGACTAAAAGTCATTTACTTCTAAGGTCATCACATCATCCGGTTTCACCAAAAAAAAAATAGGTGTCGTTGCAAAATATTTCAAACTCTACATAGTTCCGATGTTTAGTACATAGATAATGTTGGGACTGAATTAAACAGAATACATTACAAATCTACAATCAAACACAAGGTTATCCATAAAATGAAAAACAGTTAGATATGTTTTATACAACCATTCACTAACTTACACACTTGAGAAAGGTACAGTATTATATTAGATGCGGGGTTTCACTTGTTTATTGAGAACTTAAACATTCCCAAGTGTATATTTTCGACTTGCAAGTGGTATACGAAAGAACAAACCATTAAACAATTCAAAGGAACGCCACTCTAAAATGATGAAAGAAATGAAAAATAAAAAACAAACAAGTTCTATTATGGCTACTGCTTCGATCTTTGTCGTTCACTAATTTTTTCTTCTACCCAGTAGTCTATACTAAGGTATTGGCAAAATATTCTGACACTTTGACAGTCGGGTTCAGTTTATAGATTTCATTGAATTGTAAATGTATTTGCTCTAATAAATAAATAGATGAAAAACGTTGCACCTCTATCGGAATAAGGTGGCCTTCGTTGGTTTACCTTTTATGCTTATTTATCTACATTTTTGTTTCAATACAATAAATGCCAGGTTGTAGGTTGGCGAGTCTTTAATAGAAATACTAATTTTTCAGTTCAAACTTTGTATTAAAGGGGTTCGTGTTCCGTTCTTTTTGCTTTAGTTTTCGATTATATTGAGTATTACGTTTGCGTTTTTTCTATCGGTGACAATTGTTTCTATTCTTTGTGATAACAACCATGTTTGTTTGTTTAAGTCAGTTGTGTTGTATGTCTATGATGTATTTTTACATAGTTTGGGCTGTTGGATCACAGTTATTTTCGCATTAACCTATTATGACAATATGGGTTGCTTACCCACTTTTTTTCAAAATAATGGGACGGTAGATAACTGTCATAAAAGGGGAAGGTTAAGCTTGCTATAAAACCAGGTTCAACTCACCATTTTCGTCAGATATGCACGTACCAAGTCAGGAATATGGCAATTTTTCACTTGTTCTGTTTATTGATAAAGTTTTTATGGAATTCCCCTTTTTGAATTTCCCTTGGAGTTTGGTATTTTTTTTATACTTTTTTCATTTCAAATTTGTTCGGGTTAAGGATATGTTAATTAACGTGTGTCAATTGTTTATGAATGTGGTAACATGTATTCTGGTTAGACATTTACCAATTTGCTTTTATATGATACAAACACAATTGTTATGAAAAAACAACGTATTTTGTGGTAACACTACTGAATTCACTTGTGAACCTGACACAATATTAAACTCGGCTCTTAATGGGGTTCGTGTTGCTTTGTCTTTTACTTTTTTTGAGTTTTACTTTTTATTATTTGTTGCTTTTTAGTATTTTTATTTTCTCTTTTCGCATACATGCACATTGTCGATTTTGTTTGTAATATACAACGAAAATATTTTATATAACTAATTTAGGGGGCCGCGTTATCGAAACTGTATTAAGACATTATTGGACATAAACTGGAATGATCTAAGTATTGTCTTACAACATGTCTAAGAATGCACATCGAAGATATCTTATGACTTTCGTTGGAAGGATCTCCTTGCTGCATGCTGGTATCTCTGGATTGATAAACAGTAATGCATTCTGTTAAAGATAGGTGCTAGGGAACGTCTTTAGCTTAAAGTTAGGGAGAGTTACGGCTCCGATCCATACTGAAGGACTTGCTGCGACATTCAGATGGACAAATCAATAAAAAGACTCTTTCAAAGATTATTTTTTTTGTTATCAGGAGCATCATATCAATTCTTTTCCATTATTAAAAAAGGAAAAAAAATATGAATGTTTACACCAACCTAAAAATGCCCAAAAATACAAGTAACAATATAAAGAATAAATGATAATCATGGTGATAATGAATATCAACTTGAAAGAATAAGGGAACATAGTAATTCTATGAACCAAACGAAAACAATAACTTCGTTTTATATAGGAATTGACTAAACGTACAGACATTAAAGGACACAGTATCATGCATTACAGTATTCAATAGCAAAACTCGCCCATCTTTCATATAAAGGAAAAACAGGTAAACTTTTTGTATAACCGTAATTTATAATTCCGTAACTATCAGTAATTTATGTTTTAAATGTTAGGTAAACAACATAAAGAATAAAAAAGAAAAGATAGAACTCCAAGTCATATCATGCATATTCATAAAAATATAATTAAACATATGTCATTTCAGAAATGAGTCATAAAACAGCAAGTAAAGAATTGGCTATTCTAGAAAGAGCTGCAGTATATAGTCATTTTAATTCATCTGTTCGGCTAAGAAGAATTCATGCAAAAAACATGGAGGCTGAAAAAGACGGGTATTGGTTTTATTTTAATTTTTTAACGTGTTATTTTATTTTTTGGCAAGTCCTACGTTGCGAGTCTGGTGTATCAAACTATAAACCTAGTATCTTTGATGACCACTCGCTTATTACAATTATATAAACGGTACCAATGTTACTGCACCAGGTGCGCATTTGAACAGTAAATGTCTCTTCGGTGATGCTTAAGGCTATAATATTTGAAAATCCAAAACATAATACAAACGTTGAAGAGCGAATCAACCAAAAGGACCTAAAGTATAGCTTTAACCATCTATTATCCAGACTACTGGTTCTTTGCGGTCTAGATACAGGTTAAGTGAATCCGAAATGCATAAGAGTAGCGAAAGATACTGAAGGGACATTTAAACTCATAAGTGGAAAACAAACTGACAACGCCATGGCTAAAAAAAGAAAACGACAAACAGACAGACAACAGTCCACGGGTGGTGGTTACCCCAGGTGCTCCGGAAGGGTAAGCAGATGGGGATCCACATGTGGCACCCGTTGTGTTGTTCATGTTAGTTCAAACCCGGTGATAAGTCTTATTCGGTAGATCACATTTCGGGAAAGGGGACAGCATTATCGGCACGACAATTGGAACATATCCGTTGTCTTATGTTAAACGGATATTCCATAACAGTCAACCAACTAGTGATGACATCCGTAAAATTTACGGGAGGATGATTTAAACTACACCACCTGAATCTCTTGTTTTAATAGCTTTCTTGTTAGCCACAACCCTCCATCAAGGAAATCTTGATAGGAAATATCAGCCCTGGAATATCGTATCAACTGAGAGATATATGTACTCCGTATAACGGCACTACTGGAATGTTGTTACAAAGAAATGGAAAGTTCACAATTGGGAAGCCGAAATCATCTTTTTTGTCGTAAAAATTTGTTTTCAACCGACCCCTATTATCAATTTCTAGATTTAAGTCAAGATATGAGGCAGACTTAACTTTATCTGTTGTATCCTTTTATCTCAAGTTCGATAGGATAGATGCGTTCAACATAGTCACCAAATTTTGAATTATTTAGTGAGAGAACATCATTTATAAGCAGAAAGGCAAGTTGAAGAAAATTTCTAACTTCTTTTCTTTCTTCCTAAGAAGTTTCCGTATGAAGTCAGCCTTACATGAATACAGGAACAAGTCAGCAAGAAGAGGAGCACAGTTGGTATAAATAGGAATGCCGAATGTTTTTTTTTGAAAAACACGTCCTTCAAACGTTACAAATAGTTGTTTTACTATCATTATCATAGGGTCAATAGTGAATAATCATTTGATAAATATATATTTTTTCATGATTTAAATTGCGATTTTGGAGAACATGTAGCCTTTGAGATGTTTACAAATCGTTATAAATATTGTTTTAGGTTTGAAGCTAGTTATGAAGATTCAGATCTAAGCTTGCAAGAGCAATTTAACTTATTGACGTCTGAGGTAGATATACTACAGAAAAATCAAGAGGAAACTCTGAAGGATGTAAAACAAATAAAGGAAACAAAACAGAATCTGTTGATAGTCGAACTTCCTACAGGTTCACCCAAACGAACATATGAACCGGTGGAAGTACCTATAAAGCCAAGTGAACATGATATATGATATTTACAGTGAACTTGATTTGAAACAGATCGGGAGATCTAACTATTGGTACCGTTCGAATTCTTTTTTTTTCAGTTTGGGATGCAAAGCTTTTGAATATATCTTTATGATTTTTGTATTTGAAGTTCTTGTATATATTTCCCATTGAATATATGATATTGATTTATTCCAGTACAGTGTTAAAATATTTCTCAACTTTATTATGAATATACAAAATGTGTTTGTGTGTGTCTGACAATTGCAAAGTGATGTCTAAGTGTAATATTATCAAATTTATAACAGTGTTGACGAGACCTTTCGTTGGCATGCACAGTTCATCAATTGACTGGGTCAGATCAGGTAACGGTTTGTTTGTAACGCCCACTTAATATGTTGTGTTACCATGCCATGGACAGTTAAACGTATGGGTTCGCCAAAGGTTTCCTAACGCCTTAAAAACAATCAACCCGAGAAAAAGGTACTACAGGCGTATTGATTAACTTTGAATATTTTGACGTTCTTCACTGATAATTGATATTCTAATTTAAAAATCAAATTATTCATCATATTGCGTGTTCTTTAAACATTAAAATGAAATTTAACTAGCTTTACAAGTAGTAATGAATGTGTTAGCAATTACCTTTTTCATACTTAAAAGCGATTTTTCAATTGTTGTTTTCTAAAATTTTTATTGGTTCTTTGTATTATTTTTTGTAATAGGAATATTTAAATTCAGTATCTAAATATAATTATTTGTTGAATAAATTTATTTACTGGAAAGCTAGAATTCAAATTAGTTGGTCCGACGTTCTACTGAGTGACTCAGCAATCGTACTAGGTCTTTAAAAATATCTAGAATAGCGCATTATAGTTTGATGTATAGTTTGATGTATAGGAAAAACTGGAACTTTTCTACTAACGATTTTATTTGATAAAAACACATGCCTGGTTGAAGAACCGTATTCTTAAACTCATGATTGTGCACCGACCACTCTTTTGTTCTGAGTGTATTATTTATTTATTTTTTTTTTTTATCTTTTTTTTCGGAGAGTGGAGGGTCATTGGTTTTTTGTTTTAATCTCAGTGTCGTATTTCTAAGTTCTTAATTAGTTTTTTTTTCAATTTTCATCCTGATGATTGAGGACCGCTAAAGAAATTATGTATTACCCCAAAACATAAAAACATTTAATCAGGTCGGGTACACTACCATTTATAGATACACATGCATTGGCATACTGTCGTTCCAGCCAATATACTTGTTTGTTTGCAGAATGAGCAATTAGTGTTGCCTTAGAGAATTGGCCAAACCATTGAATGAGTTGCAATGCATGATGGACTACTACGTTCTTTACCGAGAATACGTGTTTTTTTCAGCTCACTTTTTCTTCTTTTATGTGTACGTTTAGAGCTTAATTTGTATGCTCAGATTACAATAATTAACGGAAAGGTGATGAACTGTAACACCTGATAATTTTTAGGTTAAAATGTCAACAAATCCCTGTAACAATGTTATAACCTTTGTGTTACAATTATTCTGTTCAGTATGAGTCTTTCATTTAATTAATTTATTATATACAGAGATATTGGGAACACATTTCTTTATTCGTTGATAGATTGAAAAAAAGTAAGTACAATATCAAATTGGATTGTTGTGATCCAACTGCTGCATTAAAGGGGTCGGGAATTAAAGTGATGAGAGGGACGCCCCACAAACGTAGCTTCCTTTATAGTTAATAGACTTATTACCTGTCCCATTTCTAACCTTGTTTAGTTTCCCCCCTTTCAAAATCATGGATACGCATCTGATTTTCTGATACGGATATGCAATATTTAGCATACTTATACTCCCGCCAATAAATGTATCAGTGTGGCTTGTTTACAAATAAAGCATATTTTCTGGGCGATTGACCGGCCAATCTACTGAATGAGTTGCAATGCATGATGGACTATTATGTGTTTACCATGGTTTATAACTGCATGACATACAACACAATTTTTCACACATTGGCGGAAAAATATTGATCTTTATACTTTTTCATCATTAATTATGTCACCCGATCGACAATGTTGGGTGACATATTGCTTTTCCTCTGTTTCTTTTTCTGTATTATTATGTCACCTGATCGACAATGTCGGGTGACATATTGCTTTTCCTCCGTTTCTTTTTTTTATTATTAATATTCTTCCACCTAATTTTGTCCTGCAGTTTTCTCAGAGCCTAATGCACCAATCTTAATGGTTGTTCACTATAACAAGGAACCCTAACTTACGAGTTGCAGTGCAACATTGGCACTAAAAAATGGATGCCATCACCATGGAAACCAAAGAAAGGTGAAAAAATTTGATTTTGGAGTTTGGTGGATTATTTGGATATGCATAAGCTTAGAATCATGACATTTTAATACAATGTAGGTGCCCACTATATACTGGTTTTGGATGATTTTGACAATCACTGGAACTACTATGTTGCCATGTAAACTACACCAAAAATTTCAAAAATATCAAAATGCTCAAAATTTAATGAAACATCACAGTAATGATGAGCAACATTGGTAGATTTGGAATTTGGCGTTGGAATTTCAAAAATGTCTGCCATTACCATGGAAACAATGCAAAACAGGTCAAAATGATCCAAAAACCTAAAAGTGGCATTTACTTTCTTATAATGGTATGTCAAATCCATTGAAATTTTTATGGTATGTTCCCTCCCATCGTTCAATCCATCTGGGCTCAACTCTTGATTTTTATGAAAAAAAGCTTGCTTATTCTTAAGTCTTTGTTGTATATTGTGGATAGTATGTTATTATCCTACTTACCCTCCCTGGGCACCTGAAATCACCCTTAGTTTTTCATGGGGTTTGTGTTGCTCAGTCTTTATGTTTCTATGTTGTGTTTTGTGTACTGTTGTTTTTCTGTTTATCTTTTTCTTTTTCAGCCATGGCGTTGTCAGTTTTTTCTTTCGACTTATAAGTTTGAATGTCCCTTTGGTATCCACTAGTAGCAAGATTTCAGTCTGAAACGGTCATTTTGGTCGACTGGATTTACCGCTAGAGAAAAACGTCAAGACTTTTTCAGACTTTCAGACGCTGTCACGATATACCGTGTTAAGTTCGTTCAGTCATGTCAAGATAAACAAGACAGATTACGCTTGCGTCCGTTTCAGTCTGTTAAGACGGTTTCAGACGAAATCAGACCAAACCAAAAAAATTCCTTTCAAATTTGTCAGACCGTGTTTAGATCCGCACCCGGAGGCGTCCTTCAGCTGGCCCCTAAACAAATATGTATACTAGTTCAGTGATAATGGACGTCATACTAAACTCCAAATTATACACAAGAAACTAAAATTAAAAATGATACAAGACTAACAAATGCCAGAGGCTCCTGACTTGGGACAGGCGCAAAAATGCGGCGGTGTTAAACATGTTTTTGAGATCTCAACCCTCCCCCTATACCTCTAGCCAATGTAGAAAAACAAACGTACAACAGTACGCACAGTAAAACTCAGTTTAAGAGAAGTCCGAGTCCGATGTCAGAATAGAAAACAAAAGAAAATAAACAAAATGACAATAATACATAAATAACAACAGACTACTAGCAGTTACTGACATGCCAGCTCTAGACCTCAATTAAACTGATTGAAAGATTATGTCTTCATCATATGAATATCAGGCACAATCCCTCCTGTTAGGGGTTTAGTAATATACCGTCATAAAATATATGAGAAGAACATAACCCGTGTAACATGTATGTTATACACTTAACCCTAACATGTTGTTAACCCGGCAGGTTAAAAATGCAGTCGTTATCCAAAATAAAATGTGTACGGATATTGATTTTTGTCTTTGAAAAAAAGTATCTGCACTGGAAATTTTAAACTTAACAATATAAATTTAAGAGATGTGGTATGTTTGCCAATGAGAGAACTATCCGTCATATTTCAAGTGAAGTGAACGTTAGCAATTTTTATAAGCACATATTTAGTATGTTTTATGTCAGGTGCTACAATTCGTTATCTGTTGATACTTTTCCTCGTATTAAAACTGGAAATTTACTTTAGAGCATTTTATAAACTTGTTACTTTCGTGCGGGTTACTTTGTAAAACTTGGACAAGTTTCTATTTTCTTAGCTTGTATCGTGCAATATATTTCTTGACAATAATTTACATCACACAGTTGTGCATCTAAACGCTACCAAGGCCGCCTAAGGTGCATTAAGCTTCCAAAACTGCACTTAGCCCGTGATGAGACAGTATTAAAATCATAAATAAAATACCACCGGATAGAGCTTTTCATTAAAACAATATTCTTATTTATTTTTCAGTACCCATAATAATAATTAATCAATGATTTATATAGTAAGATAAAATGATAACACACGAGATTCCAATCCTTCTTACTATACAAATCCTTGTCGTAATTTAGTATGTTCTGTTTTTAAAGATTGAGATCAATGGCACGTGCAATAATCAATCGGGTCAACAGGTAATAAACCCAATGATCCATTACGCAAGAAAGAAGATTGGCAATTACATGACTATTTTACAATTACATCTATCATAGTATCATAGCTCAGTTTGTGTAGTTTACACCCAATTTACAATAACCTTGACAAATCTCACTACTAGCCTTGTTTGTAGTCTGCTCAACTGTCTTCTCTACGACTTGATTGTCTTTTATTGTCCTTTGTATCCCAATGAATTCTTTAGAAAACTATTTAGTAACGCTTCGACATTTTGAAATGACAGAATAATGTTAACATAAATATTTGACTGCCTTGTGGAGAATAAAAAGTTACCAAAATTAAGAAGCACTCAGAAATAAATTGCCTCTTATCTCAGACAAAATATATTGACTTAATATCCTATATAGTATTAACTTGTAAAATAATGCTTCTTAACATGAACGTATGTAACATACCAGAATGGCTATCTGCATGGCTCCTCGCATGATATTGAATTTATTTAAATTCAAGTATTGTTTCAAGATAATGCCGATCAAAAAAAATTCAAAAACAGAAGGTTTCGCCCTTATGTTAACAGCATAAATGGTTAAATTGTTGACTCCTTTCAAACTAATTTGATTATAGAAAAATTACTAGAATAAGAGAATCTGGCCCTATCCCTTAAAGAGTAAAAATTC